ATCCACTTCATATCTTCTTCGTTCAAATCATCCAGTGTAATGTCCCGCGCAACTTTATCATTTCCAAAGTATGTAGCTTTGTATCGCAAAAAATTCATCATCTGACGAACCGAGCGATGAACATTGTACTGATTTTCCAAATTCAAAAAGAGTTGAAAGTGAACCTTCTTTTTAAAACTCAACCATAAATCAAACGATCGAACTACTATTGTAAATAGACATCATAGCATAGAGCGGGCTTAGTTTCTATCCTCAATGCTAGGCGAATATAGATACGTCCTTGGATGGATCCTATGAGATCCGATCGTTGGTGTTGTTGTTGCCATGTATTCTTCTACCACTCGAGTCCTGTATATTATCATTATCTTCTTTGGCGGTTCGAATGACTCCAGCTGAGATTGGTATTCATCAAGCCGTCTCTTGATTGCGTCGACTGAAGAAGTGCTTTCGTCTAAAGGTTGGATCCGTACCGGTGTAAACGTACACATACCTACACGTCCTCAATCGTAGGGTTTTTTAAAAATTTGGGTGATGCTTGTTCGTTCTTTTTCTCGCGTTGAAACGACTCACTACCCCGCGCGACCATTATAAGCCGAGACCGTACGTGTATATAATACGCAGAAAAACCTGAGTTGATGACGACGATTTTGTCGCGCGTAAACGATTGAGTGAGAAATACTCGATCATATTTCTTCTCCAACCTTCCGTTCCTGAAAAGCAATTCTTCTCACAAATCAAACTTGCTCCGGATTTCAAACGAAATATAATCAAACTTACCAAGATGTTCAAGCTTTCCTTCCTCCTAGTTGCCCTCATCGCCATCATCGCCTCTGTCACTGCAGACAAGCCCAAGGCTCTTCGAAGACTGCAAACTGCTGCACCCGTCGCTGTTCCAATCGCCGTCGTTGCACCTGTCGCTGTACCTGTTGCTGCTACCAGCAGCAGCAAGGGAAGCAGCAGCAAGAGTAGCAAGAGACAACTTGTTCACTACAACACCCCTTACGAGTCTTAAGCAAGATGGAATGATACTGGGAACGATGATGCGAGCAGTTTGAAGTACCAGAAAAAGTCATTTGAAGTATATGTCACATAATCAAAAGTAATAAAGATGAATTTTGATGTCTCGATGCATTCTACCTTTCTATCCTTTTTGTAGCGTGTACAGTCTTTGCGGCATATCGTAGGACAGCAAGGTAGCAGATTGAAATCAAAGATGAAGCACATTTAATTGGCACATAGACTAAATAATAAATTAAAGTATAATCCCCGGATGACTTTCAACACTAGGCATCATCTAGATCGTCGTCTTCTGAAATCTTGTCAGTGTTGGCTGGTTTGCCAGAAGAGTCCGGGTCTTCGGCAGAAGCAAATGGCTTTGGTCCAAGAACGGACAGCATGACTGGAAGGGCAACAAGACCGTGAAGCACTCCCAATCCAACGGTCAGAGCGAATTGAGTGGACAACACTCGGAACACGTAGGAAGAAGAGAAAAGAAGGACAACGACAGCCAAAAAGGTGGAAATAGCACCGTTCAACACGGATGCTCCCATATCGGCCAAGGCCTCCAGTGCTCTCTTGTTCTTGTCTTCGCCTCCTTTGACCATGAAGCAATGACCAACGTGAGCACTGTAATCGACGGAAAGACCAACAGCAAGCACCATGTTGATAACACTGACGGAATCAATGACAATTCCGAGGGCATACATGAATCCCAGAATTTCAATGATACACGCCGCAACATTCAAGGTGATCAAAATCGATGTCGTTGGACTGGCAACAGTGAAGAAGACAATGATGGCAACGGCAAGAATGGCAAGACCGACATTCAAGAAGAGCTCCTTCTTGATAACCTTGAAACCTTCAATACCAATGAACTTCTCCGAGTAGGTGAAATGTTGTGGCAAGTCAGTCCAGCTTGAGACCATTTCTCGAGTTGCATCCATGGCTTCGATTTGTCTGTCGGCATCGTCAATGACCTTGTCTCCGCTCATCTTCGTAAGACGAATGTATTCGGTCTTTACAACAATAGCATCAACGCTCTTAGCATCGGCAGAGAGGACGAAGTCCCTGGTGTATTGAGAACCAGCTCCACCAAATCCGGCATAGCTTGTGAGGGCAGTGACGAATTCGGCTTCGGTGGCTGGCCAGCCATCCGAACCCAAAGTGACGTTCACATTGGATCCGGCAGTCTTCAAGTAGCTGCTGAAACCAGCCATGATGTTTGTGTACGCTGCATCGGAAACTGGTTCGGCAATATATGGTGGGCTGGAAGACTTGCCGGCAAGACGTTCGTCCAAAGTGGCAAGACCTTCACGACTAGCGTAAATGTCCGAGCTTCCTTCGAACACAATTGCCAGCTCAATACCAGTGGATGGGTAGTACTTGTCAGCAGCATCAAAGTATCCATTGACGTAACTGTCATCTGGAATGAAGCTTCTCTCAGAATCTTCGACCGACAAGTTCAACATTCCAAAGATTCCAAACGCCAAGAGCCCAATGAAGACAATTAGAGTCGCAAACTTTCCTGGGACGGAAAGAATTGCAGGAGCATGGTAGTTGCGGAAATAGCGGGAGACTGCGCCTTCTTCAAAGCCAGTATCCTCGTCTTCTTCCAGGGGAGCCTTGCGGGTAAGACAACACAGGCATTCTCTGCGATTGTCGCGTTGGCGACGTTCGTCAAGGACCATGGTGGCAGGGAAGAATGTGGAAGCAAAAATCCACAGAAAGAGAATACCAAAGGATGCGTAGGCACAGAAACTGGCCAAAGCGGGCAAAGAAGAGGTAGCCGAAATTCCAAATGCGACAAGATCTGTCAAAGAAGTGACAGTGATGGAGGCACCAGCACGGGCCATTGCACGCGCACATCGCTGAGCGAGGGCCTCGTTGTCTTCCTTGGATCTTGCAACCTTACGCTCGCGGTTGAAAGCGTTGACAATGACAAAGGCATCATCGACGCCAATACCCAAAAGGATGAATGGAAGAAGAGAGTGAACGGGTCCAAAGAAGAACCCAAAGATGGAAGAGATGCCGAATCCAGCACCAGTACTCAAAAGGACGACCATCAAAGCTGAGAATGCCATGGTCCATCGAGATCCAGTTCCACACTTGATGCTTCCCATGTTGGCACCCAAGTACAAGAAGGCGATGACGTAAGAGATTTGAACAAGGAGAAGATCGCCAGTGATGGCCCCTCCAAACTCATCGCTGAAGCTGCGAGTAGAGATGTAGTCTGAGTTAATGTCGCTGTACTTGGCATCGACACTTTCAGCGACCGACAAAAAGGCAGTCTCTTCCCAGGCTTCGTTGATGGGATCAACTTCAGAACCGTCAACAACTTCCATTCTGCTTTCCAAAAAGTAGGTGATGGTAAAGGCTTCGGCGGAGACAAGAGTTCCGTTGGAGTCAAAATTAGGGTTACCCAAGACGGCCTCTAGACCCTCCTTGCTTCCGTAGTTGTTCAGAGTTGTCATGAAGTCATTGTCACTTTTCAAAAGTTCCAAGTCGTAGTTCCATTGCTTAAGAATACTGTTGACCAAACAGAGACAAACACCTTGAAAGCCAGAGGCGCAGGATCCGCCTGCCTTGACGCAAAGATCAGTCAGAGTGTAATTTTTATCCTCGACAACAGATACCGTGGTCTCGATTTCGTTGTGCATCTCCATCGCTTGAACAAGACTATTCTTGGTAAGGACATTGCCATCATTTCCGGAAACGATGATGGAGTTGAAGCGAGCATTGCTGGCAAAGTAGTTTTGGTAGCGCTCAGTTTCATCTTGTGCTTGAGTTTCTTGAGGGACCCAAAGCTTTTGCTGACGGCTCTCAGTTTCCCATGTGGTGAATCCATAACCTGTCAAAGCAGTAACGAGGAAACAGATGAGGATGGTCAATCTTGGTCTGTTACCAACACTTAGGCCGACTTTGTTGAAGAATCCACCAATGGTGTGCTCAACAGTGTTGCCAAATTTCTCAATACAGGACATGATTGTTGGCGATACGAGTCACTGAAGATTCAGAAAGAAAATGAGGACAGAACTGATGTATTCAATTTGATGCGATGAACTCTACCTAGTGAAGTTCAGGACTATTCCCGTGTAAAATCTCCTGCAACGTGGTGGTCTGAGTCAATGGTTTGTGCTGACGATTTTTTAAATTGACGAGAATGGCTCTGAGTTTACATAATGACAAGAGCTACGTGGTTTTATGGTTTATTTTGATTGGTTGATATGTGTCGACGTACTTGATCGTGTACCCAAGTTCTTGGAGAATATGCGAAAATCGATCACATCACTCTGGGTCGCGCGATTTGGAAAACTTAAGACTGCAACAGTTCTATCTCGTTGATATAAATCTGGTCATATATATTGCCGGAATTTGAAATTGATGATGTAGTTTGACACGATCTCCAACCGTCGCGAGAGTGCGATTGTTTACCTTTTAGGGTATCACACCACATACCGGGTACCGGTACATTCTTTGCCATTCCTAACGAGGAGTTGATGTTGGTGATTCGTGATTCGAAAACCGATCGTAAACGGAGACAGCAGCAGAAGTCTGAAGAGAGAAAACGAACATGGTAGAATAGCAGTGTAATGGATTTGTGATGCAGTGGACCATTGCCATTAGAAACTAGGATGATATTGGGCCCTTCTTTTTCCGAATACTGCGGAAGCTGTGAATGAATCATCCGACAATTACATAAAAGGTTAGAATGACAATGCATATCCGTAATCCATAAGTGCCAGGCGAACTCACAGTTGGGCAATCTTCAGCTCTGCCGCTTTGGTATCAACCTCTTCCCACTCATTCGAACCTCGTTGCTGTAGAAATCGAATGCCTCTACTATTCAGGAGTTCCCTCAAATCCGTCACAATCTTGCGCCTCTTGAACCGCGGGGCAACATCGTACTCGTCATGGTACTCCACGAGCAACTTTCGAAACCGAATATTCCCTTCATGATTTTGAATGTCTCGGCCCCGTCCGAGCACAACATCGGTTTCGGTTGGTCCAAAAATGCTTGCTGGTTTTGCTTCTCTTTTTTCGTTGCGTGCCTCGATGGCAACGGGTGATATGCGATTAATGAAATCCAATGACGAAAAGTCGTCCACGGTTTGTCTGGAGCCTTCTTCAAAATCAATGTTTCCACCAGCATCATAGTCACCAAACAGGCCATCCAATTCTTCCTCGTTAGGTAACAGCATCATCATGTCCTGGTCATTGGGTGCAGGGATATCTTGAAGGGATTGATTCTTGAGTGCCTCTAACTCCAGATGCTTCTGAAACCATACATTCAAGATGTCTGTGCGAATGTTGCCAGCTGTGTCGATAGGACAGGTGTTGATCGGAATACCATAGGGTCGGAGCTGATACTGAAGCTCAATCGTGGATCCATGGTGAAGTCTTGACCTCACGCGAGTGGATTGTGGATAAGCGTTCATGGCAAATCCAAGAATAGCATTGTTAAGAGCAAGGTTCCCCTTGTCTTCGCCCTTGACGCAAAGGTGTGCTGCTGAGTAGCGCATGGGAAGAGAGCACGTAAAGCTCATGATTGTCAGAAAGGAATTGAATCCAGGAATGGCAATATTTTCTCCTGGTTTGGACGCATCAAAGTAGACGCCCACTAACCCTTTCATTTGGACTTCAGGTATGGGGATCAGGATGTTGAACCAAATGTAATAAGCAACACGTATCTGTAGGGCCGCAGACGATGATGGGTTAGTAAAGGCGCCGCGGTTCGATAGCTTGTTCTGTTGATCATACTATTTATTACTTACTAACGTGTCAGCCTTGCATTTTCCTAACAGCGTGTTGGACAGATATATAATCACTCGGCCACTTTGGTCTCTTCCGTCCTGAATATGAAATAGACCTGAAAGCATCCACTTCATATCTTCTTCGTTCAAATCATCCAGTGTAATGTCCCGCGCAACTTTATCATTTCCAAAGTATGTAGCTTTGTATCGCAAAAAATTCATCATCTGACGAACCGAGCGATGAACATTGTGCATATTGGCTCGGAGAAACTTCAAACGAAATGATGGGTCTTCGACATATGACTGATTCTGACTAGCAGCCATTTGATAGATGAGGTTCTTCTCGTTTTGAACGGCAAGCTCAAACTCTCTTAGTGATTGCTGAATCATCTCAGGAGTCTCCTTGAGCTCTTCGCCAACGCAATGAATATCATCTAAAGCTTCCGCTCTCTCTTGAACCGTAAGGCGGTTCATTTCGGAAGCAAGCATCTCTTCCGTTTGCTGAATCTCCTTTCTGGAAACATTTTTTTTAGCTAGGCCCAGATTCGGTGCACGGAATTGAGGAGTTGTGACGTTGCAACAGTCCAAGCATGATAACATGGTCCTGTGGCCGTCGTCTGAAACTGCTGTTGCCATTCCCTTTTAAATTGAGTGAAGAATTCTTCACCGGAAAATACGATGACAATAACCACGATGATGAAGGAAGAGGGGATGTCCTTTAGTTCATCGATTGGGGGGTGGGGCAGGCACTGTGGGGGAGAGCAATATACGTTTGATTTCTTCGACGCAAAGTCAACGATTGGTTTTGTCGCAAGGAATACGCTGATTGGCTAGACTTTGTCAAAACGACACGTGCGGCAGGCAGTAGCGATAGCACGTACAGTACCGGTACATGTGCCGAGTACCCAGGACTATGTCCTACAGGAATCCACACCCATCACTTCCCTCCATATCCAACCCATCACATGAACTCTGTAGAACATTACCAAACCCCAGCACTCTGAAGAAAAGAAGCATGAAAGTCGTTATTTACTCCATCGTTGGGCTTGTCTCAGCCTTTAATCATCCAGATCCATACCGGCAAGTATATCAAACTTCCAAAGAATTTCCTTCTGATCTTCCATTTGTTCCTCAAGAGGAGGATCCCAGTCCAAGTAACTTTCCAGAACGTGTGTTTGAAGAATTGGAGCCTCAAGATGTCTTGCTTCCTCTGCCTTCAAGGCAACAGGAAGAGAAGATGTACCCTAGAACCGTAAGTCTCGTGTCTTTCCGAAACATGTGTAGAGTGATGATCTGATTCCTGCAGTAGTGGATCGCATGATTGATTCATTCATTCCGAGAATGTTATTCTTCCCAAGCACTCACGACAAGATTGCCTTTTTAAAACAGAGACCCCAACATGACTCAAATATGCAGGCAAGACATATGATGGAGAAACCCCCCGCAACAGTGGTCCAGGGTACTTCTGTTCAAACTTGGACTTTTCTACCGCAACATAATGTAGACCGACTTCAGGTGGATCTTTCCACAGAAGGACGACCTATGGAAGCCTTGGTGGAACTCTGGCAAGGACCTACCAATGTTCCTCAAAAGCTTCGAGTCTTTTCTGAGAATGGCCAAAAATGTCCCTTTTCTACCTTGATTGAAGTACCGGCCGACTACAACACACTTGCGGTCAGGAATATTGGCAATCTGCAGTTCCCCATGGGGGCCATTGTGGTGGATGCTGACACGATGCGACCGAATTTTTCCAATCCGCTACATTCAACTCGGGTCACGGGTGGCCCCAATGGATATCGAAGGATTCAAGGAAACGCCATGGGAACCTTCAACTTTGATAGAGATGTGGTAAGCCTCCAAGTTGTGTTGCAATCCGAGGGTGGTCCAATGTCGGCGCGAGTCGAGTTGACCCAAGGACCCAGCAATACCAAACAGTTTATTGATATCTATTCTCAAGATGGCCTGACGTATCCGGTGTCCTTGGTGATTGAGACTCCGGGCAATGGAAAGGTGATCCGCATCCGGAATACAGCTGAAATTGCTTTCCCGCTCAAGGCTTGGGTGGAGCCATGCACCAAGAGCTTGGATCAAAAGGTGGAAGTTGTGCCGAGAGCAACAGAGCCAGCGAAGAGAAACATGTTACCAGAAGATCTAGGTGCGAATGGACACCCCTCTGATAAAAAAGATGCTGTGGATATTGAGTTTCAAAAGGTTGTCATGAACAATCCAACACGCAAGTTTTCCCGACACTTTGACAAACGAGATAACCAAGAGAGTTCTCCTGGCGTTTTACCTTTTTTTTGGGCTAAGTCAAGTAAGTATGATGGTGGAAATGATGATAATCAACATGGTCATGATCATCATCAACAAGCGTTCCCACCAACGAATGGTTTACATCCTTAACTTTTGATCAGAAGACTGCGTTTGTACAATATGATGATGGTAGTTGTGTAACCAAAAGAGTAATATACTGATGTGAGGAACGATGATAATTCTATCTAAATACCATTAATACTAGTCTATCTCAAATACTGACAGATAACGTTGGCCATGAATCGCCATGAAATGAGGATAGTTGCGGTATCCACCAAAAACAGAGCGTCGTCCTTGGTAAGTAAGTAATCCAAAGAATGCCCGCCCAACATACTTTGCAATACTGGTGTTTGATTGACCAATGTATTACTTCCCAATGTTAGACCGAGCATCATGATCATCATGGTGATCCATGTTTCCATCGTCTTTTGCAAGGTTCGTGGGATATCACAATCAATGCTGTTCTGAAAGGAAAACGCCCGATGCAAGTATCCAGCAAGCAACCAGGTACTGCATAGCGCAATCGTACAGACTCCCGGTGAAGTAAACAAAGGTCCCCATTGATTGAGCAAGGTATCTTTGGCATTCATCGTTATGACCTGATCTACCACAGTTGGCGAGGCGGAATAATCCACCCAAACGGGCGTTTGCATATGCACAATTTCTTGAAGAGGATCAAGTGTTTGTATCGCCTTTTCAGTACTTTGCGAAGATTCAAAGACACTGTTGACGACATAGTCGTCAACGGAATGCCCAATAAAGGAGTACAAGAACAGGACGGCAATGTCACCTGTCATTATGAATTGATCTTCAGGTGGCGGAGGCATGAACCCAACAAGTCTGTCCAAAAGATTACCACTATCACCACCGTTCGATCTCTTGGGAGGATCGTCAAAGATGTCTGAACTGAGCCTTGTAATGGGCTGCTCTGTGGACGAGTAAAGGCGACAGTCGGGTCTTGAAGTTGCATGCCTTGGAGTTCTAATCTTAGCATTGCGAGTGCTGGGAGGCATATTGAACGAAGAGACAGTGATCGCTGGCGAAAGGATCATCAGGAAGGAGATGAATTGGCTGAATGACTTGGTCGACATGATGGATGATGGCTTTTGATGATGTATTGGCATTTGACTGTCGACCTGAACTTCTCCTGAACTTGATTGACAGAATTTTCCTATTTGCAGATGGATCCCTTCTGGCTTGAAGGATATTTTGCACCCTGTAGTGATCGACAAGCATGAGATCTCTGCTCGTTGCGTCTGTACCAAAGCAGAGCACAAAAGAACTAAAAGAGTTTCGCAAGATAAACTACAGAGTGATATACAAACGACCCGGAGGTTTTGACATGGTTATGCCACGTCAGTGGCAGTGGTGGTCTAGATTTTTAGCTTAAGAAGCCCGACTTGAATCCTCGGATTGTCTTGTTAATACAGTACTTAGCCAAGTGAGATGAAATCGGAACTTCCGTTTAGCAGCTGAAAAGTGCAATGTCTCACTCATGCCACTCGTCGGGATGATGATTCGCCACATCTGATTGTTGTAATTTCTTGGTGGTCTCGAAATCACTATTGCATCCATATGCTCTACTCACTATTCGTCATTACTCTGTCGTTGAGCTTGGGGAGGAGTAAACATGTCGTATTCAAGGCACGGGACACAGGCATGATCAGCAAGTCGGGTACTAGTACTTGGTTGAAGCCAAATCAAATCATTTTGCTGCCTTATCCTTCTTGGAAGACTTTGAAGTGGACTCTCGTTTCTTGGATTTCGGAGGTTTCTTCGGAGACTTCAATTTGGAATCTCGCTTCTTGGACTTCGGAGATTTCAACACGGAGTCTCGTTTCTTTGGCTTGGGAGATTTCACTGCATCGTCAACCTTCTTGTCCTTTTTCAGTTTCTTGAGGTCTACAATGACGCCAAACTTAACTCCAGTCGAGTCCAAAGGTGCTTCTGGATCGACGTCGATTGTCTCTCCCTTGTAAGAAAGACCCTGCCTCTTAATAGGAATCTCGTGATCAATCGCAAGCCTTTGCTGAAGGTCGCCCACAGTAGCATCAGAGGAAAGAACAACAGCGAGCAGTTCATTTTTTTCTGTTTTGACATGGATATGCCATGGGTGCAAATCAATAATGCTTCCGCCACCAATTCCCAAGGCCTTGAAAGTTTGAAAAGGGTCATCCAATTCTTTCTCTTCGTATTTCAAAACCTGCTCCTCTTTGGGAATTTTGAAGTCCTCGTGCAACTGCAACTGCAGGCTCTCGACGGTATAAAAGTGTTTCACCTTGATGGACATCAGTTCCTTCTTCTTCTTGCCATCTGTGTCGTTGATTCGGATTTCCATCACAATGTCCGGAACACTTTCCGCGACCACAACGTCCCCATCTTCAATTCCACATTCCTCCAAACTCAATTCCGGATTTGTTGCCGATAGGTCGTCCTTTCCCTCAATGGCTAGGCCTTGGGACCTAAAAGGAATATCATGTTCCTCTTGGATCTGTTTCTTCAAGTAGTACAGTGCCTCGGATGGTTTCATGTGGACCGATGAGGCGTTGCTGCCGGGCATGACAATGACATCAAAGATGATATCTGGTTCGTCCAGGAACAACAACTCGCCACCTTTAACGCCGCAAGCTTCCAAAGCGGCATTTGGGTCATCCAGCGGATCGTCACCGTGATATAAGGTCTGATTCTTCTCCTTGACGGGAATACCGTGCTCATGAACCAACTTCTCTAGAACAGCATCGACCGATTCCTTTGGAGAGATTGTCATTTCTACCGTTGTTCCGTCTACATTCTCGATACGAATAGCAACCGGTCGTGGATCCAATACGATGACTGATCCGTCGACAATGCCACAATCCAACAAGCTGATAGTGCCATCTTCTGGAAGCGCCTTGCCTTCCAACATCATAAAGTGGTCTTCCAGTGCAAGTAATGTCCCCATCTGTAACTTCATTTGCAAATCAAAAATATTACCGAGGGGAGAGACTTCGACAGATATCGTTTCGCCGCCATGGTCTCGGGCTACGACAGTAATGTCCTTGAATTTCAAATCAATTACTTTCTCAGGCTTAACCTTACAATCCTTTTCCAATATTGCCTCCGGATCCTCCAACGTTTTGCCCTTGAATTCCAAGAAATGCTTTTCGATCGGAATGTCATGTTCGTCTTTCAGTATTTGCGTCAACTGTCCGACGCTGTATGTTGGTTTGACAGTGACCGCCATCTTATTGCCGTCATGAGTGGCGACAAACACTGTCATGTCCAAAGGTTTCAAATCAATTTTGCTTTGTGCCTTGATTCCATAATCCTTCTCCAGTGTTGCGGCATCATTATCGAGTTCTTTCCCTTCAAATTCCAATTCTTGTTTTTCGACCGGGACTTCGTGCTTCTCTTGGATCATCTGCTTCAATTCTCCAACAGAAAAGGTTGGTTTGACCGCAAACGACCATTTTTTGCCATCATGCTTGACAACAGAGATCTTAATATCTGGTGGTTTCATATTAATGATAGCCTCCTTCTGAATCCCACAATCGACGAAGCTTGCCAAATCGTTGTCCAACGGCTTCCCATCAAACTCCAATTCTTGCTCATCGGCAGAAATTCCGTGTGCAGCTTGAACTTGCTTCTTCAGATCACCAACACTGGTAGTAGGGGGGAGGGTGACGGGCAATTTTTGGCCAGTGTACAATTGAATGTGTACCGTGATGTCTTCTGGTTTAAGATCAATCACATCCCCGGGTAAGACCTCACAATCCACCGTTAGGGACGCACTCAAATCATGCAATGACTTTCCTTTGAATTCTAGTTTTAATTGATCGGCTTGAATTCCGTGCTCTTCTTGGATTTGCTGTTTCAATTGATCAATGGTAATATGTGGCATCACTTTCATGGACATTTTCTTTCCATCTTGGGCTTGGACAAAGATCTCGATAGGTGGAGGATTTAGTTCAAGGACATCGCCAGCTTGAATGCCGCAATCCGTCAAGTCTGAGTACATATCGGCCAAAGCTTTGCCGTTGTTGAACAATTCTTGCTCTTCGATAGGAAAATCATGGTCATCTTCCAAAATTTCCTTAATGTCTGGTACAGTATCATCAGGTGCTACCTTGATATCTACACTTTCACCACCGGGTAGTTTCACTTGAATTTGAAGTGGCTCTGGTTTCTTGGGTTTCGGTTCTTCATTCTCTTCTTCTTCCTCCTCTTCCTCCGCCAAGGCCCTTTCCATTTCTTCCTGAAGTTTTTGCAGTTCCTGCTTATCCTTTAGGACAGAGGAAGGCCGAGACTGTATCATGGCACGAGCTTTTTGCCTCAATGCTTCGCGTCGTCTTTCACGTTCCTCTTCACTGAGGACGGGTGAGGTAAATTCTACCATATTTTGAGAAGTATTACGGGTTCGCGATAGTCTATGCTGACAAAGAGATAGATGGTCAGCGCCAGAGAGGAGAATACCAAGATGGAAGGTTCTTAGCCTTATAAATCAGTACATATTACATTCGTGGAATTAAAACGAATTGTGATCCAGAGTTGCCATCAAGGAGACGTGACCTGGTCTTTGACCTCCGACACCGCTATGGTGTCGAACAAATTTGCTGTCGTGAGTCACATAAAGTTCTTGGTTCGTCGATGCAAGATCCACTTTTCTTCACACCAGGTCTCATTCACCTATTCCTGCTGATGCCAGTATACAAGGCAGGAACACGGCAGGAACACGATAGTAACAACGCTTACCTATTTGGTAGCCCAACGTAAGTGGTTGGCAAGTCTAAATACAATGCAAGACTCTGCTTAGCGGCTCCTCGATGCTCAATCATACCGCGGCGGTTTTACCGAAAGGTCATTTCGCTGAATGACTCAGTCGATCAAGTTCTCGGACATTTTGTGCAGTTTTGTGACGCACTCGCACTTTCAACTTTATGACAACCGCATCATACGATGATACACCGCAACTGCAATAACAACGACGAAAGTGGATGCAAAAAATGGACCCAACCAGAAAGACACTTTATGGCACAAAGGGATATACTCAAGTCTTCAATCGGAGGAAAGATCTTGTTCCATTTTCTATTACAAATGATAAACATGATATCCATGTCCCATCAAATGAATGGTCGTGGGCGTCATTCCATAGTTTTTGCACGGACCCATCACGAAACAGAACCCATCACCTACCGTTACCACCTTCAAACAACAATCACAAAACACGAAAGTATTCACCCCGAACCAGACTCACACTGACCATATGCAAGAAAAAGATCCTTATGTCTCGTTCTGTTGGAACAAATTTCTGCCAAACATTATCATCGATCACAGATGTCTCCCACTGAACACATTCTTCAAATAATCCACTAGAAAAAGTGATTGATTGAGAAGTCACATCTCTTGATATGTCGCACCCGATGATATCATCTGTTCGTGGCTTTCTGGGTTCCTTTGTGATGATGATTTGCAGTCAAATCCGTCAGCTACCACCAAATTCGACTAAGACGATGAATATGCAGCAACTGAGGACCCCATAAGAAAAGAAGATAGAATCAGAGGCTACTGAAAGCTTCGTGAACATATGGAAGGAGGTGGAGCTCAAAGGTACCTTAGAGGATTCTATTGGCATCTCTGCTATGTTGGCGCCTTGCTGGATTCGCTTCATTTCCTTTAGGTTCAGAGATTTTTGGATTTGCACATTGCGTCTGTCGGCGGGTGCTCATGGCCGCCATAGCGAAGGACAACCATTCAACAATACAATGCACCATTCCCTTCTATCAAAACTGACGGAAAGCGTGGTATGTGACGCACTTGCTCATATGATTGGCCGAGATCCACCAGACAGTGGCTTAAATGTAAGTTGTGCCACAAAAACAGCATTAGTCGGATTCGTGGCCTATTTTCTTTCAACTACAATATAGTACTAACACATATTTGTCGTCCAGAGATATATGTGACAAGCCCGGGGGTGCTTGATATAGGGCTTTCCAACCAAGGTAGAAAGGATTCAAGTTCACCCACTTGGCTTGGGCGATCAATGATTGGCCATACCGGTAGGTTCCAGAAGTTGTAAAGAATCTCACACAGACACGGTCGAACCACCACCAAAGCTACCGCTATATTACGCAGAATTTCAAATCACTTTTCGGGGCTGGGCGACAACTTGGAGTGCTACAATGGATATTAGTGCTGGTAGTCGAAGAAGTCAAAACATCCGCCAATTTGGAAATAAACTAAACGAAAGTACAGTATGGTGACTGCAACATCCCAGGTCGGTACAGTAGGTACACTGGGAACCTAGCATTGGGTCAAGCGTCAACGTCTTGCTTATAAGCGTCTCCAAAGTGAAAAGGTCGGTTCACGATTGTGTAAGAAGGGCATTGCGATGTACGAGTACTCTAAAAAGAGGGAACGTTAGACACCATTCTTCCACAGATTATTGTCTGATCAGGTTCAAGACCAACCCGGTTGGTGCATCAACAATTTGGAAATTAATAGAGTTTCAATTCATGTAGACTGCATTTTCTTCACTTTGTACTAGATCAAAAGGAACACTCAGAGTGTACATGAGCCATCGTGGGAAAGGTAGCACAGGTACATCTTTTAAAATTAGTGCAGTTCGAAACAACACAATTGCAATCACACCGAAGTCATTTTTTCAGCATGGAGCGCTTGCCTCGTGGGTTTGGAAGAGATTCCAGGTATGGTACCGGTACCAGGTACCTGGTACTATAAATCTCCAATGAAGAGGAGAATGTTCGACGCCGATGAACAAGCTCGAGACTATTTTTGCGGGGACTAAAAAAACAGAAAACTCCTTTCAGTATTATTAGAAGAGGAACCGTGTTCCCTTGGTGGGAGCACTCGGAAAGTCAGTGTTCTGAGTGTTCCATATGGCTTCTTTCGATTTTTTTGTATAATCTGTTCAATCATGAAATGAGTGACATCAATATCATTCAAGCTCTTTCGGACAAATCGTTAACAAAGACAAGTGGTGGTCGCGATATGTTGTGTGGAGCTATTGCAATATAAATTACCGCAGAGATGACGGGAAACACGAACTTTTCTCCAAAAACAAGATTTGTTCAGGAATTTCTATTACGCCATGTCGGGATTGATTGAAGTATGGAATCAGAAGACGGTAGAATAGCGTGTCTGTCGTTTTGTTTGTTTTCTGTTTCTTTTGAGAGTCACACAAAAATCAACACAAAGAAACAAAATGGCTGAAACCAAGCCTCCAACAGCAGCGACTATCAGAAGCAAACCTTTCCCAGAGGCTCTCTACAATCTACTCAAATTTGTGGAATCGAACGATCACGAACATATAATATCGTGGGTGAACGATGGGAGGGCACTTCAAGTTCATCTTAAGGAAGAGTTCGAGAATGAATTACTGCCAAGGTATTTCAACACTACGAAATATAACAGCTTTACTCGAGCGCTATATGCCCATGGATTCACTTGCCAAAAGAAGGGGAGTCGAACTGGGATTTGTAAGTTGCACACTTAAAAGACCTCGTATTCATCTTTCAACTGTTTTCTCACACCTTAGTTGCCCAAACAGACTCACACCCAAGCTTTAATCGCCAGAATATGTGGGCCCCATGGCTTATAAAGAGAGCAAAGAGCAAGAGAAATGCAAAAGGAGCAGCCTCAAGAAGCGATACTTCTGATTCTCTCTCTGATTCAGCACTGAGTGGCCGCCTACCAAAGCTAAGGCCACGGATTTCCGAATCGATGTTGGATACCGGGACACGGAGCAATACATCGGGTCAAATGCCCGTTGCAGGTCAGCAGCATCAAGTGATTTGCTCTCAAGTATCTCATCGCGCAAGTAAGACGCCATTACATCTTCCACAATTGGCTGGCCAACTTGATAGCGACAATGATAGTGCTCGCATGGAACCCCAAGCCCCAAGCCCTTCTTTAAATCCTTCAAGGAACCAAGAAGATGATGGCAAGTCGGCCATCGCAGCACCGACCATTTCTTCTTGCATTCCTCTGAGTTCGAAGACGATTACGACTGACCAAGACCAAGATCGAAAAAATCAACTCGCTCGGAGTTATGGGGCGCTGCTGGATGATCATATATCACCAATCCCCTTCTCGTTAGACGCGCAAGACCTTGTCACACCCAACAGCGCGATTGATTTTTATCCTTGCGATAAAGTGTTGGCATTCTCTTTGGAGCCAAGAAGCATTCAGGAGATGTCGCAACGTCCAAATAATTTATGTGAATGTGACCATCTTTCGAGTATAGGATAAGAAACACAACTAGTCCACTAGATTCTCTCTCAAAAAATGATTTGTTAGATAATGTCACTCATGAAATCCTTCAGATCGGATTCTGAAACAGATGCGATTCTGAGCAAAGCTTCCATCTTTTGGAACTTTTCAGATACCATTTTCTCATAAATGGTCCATGAAGAGACAAGAGAGCCCTTCTTGTGATCTTCAACGAGCTTCCCGAGAAAGAAGGATTTTAGCGTGTGGACATCCAGTAATAATTGCTGCTTTCCTGTCGTTGTAGTGTGATTGCATTTCGAAAGCATGATGGAATCAAAGGTTTCAATGATGTCCATGGCCAACTTGTCGCATAGTGTACAGAAATATGCCGGAGACAGGAGCCATTCGGCAGTAGATATGTAGGATTCGACATGATGACAAATGGAGTAGACATAGTCGTTGGTATCTTGAACTTGATCCCATTTTTTCCAAGGAAGTTTGGTCATGTCTGCAAATGCGCACGCACGAATTTGATTGCTGAGAAGTGATACCAAGAATTCCATAGCCTTTGCGGCAATCTCATCAAAAGTCTCTTGCTGGGATGTCATGTCAACTTGAGCAGCGTACGTGTCGTGAATGGTATTTCTGACCATCTCTTCCATTTGTTCTATTGTATCGACACAGAACTTGGAAGTGTTGAAGATGTGACACAGGTTCTTTTCGTGGTCCGTAATCTTTTCGTCGTGCCCAAAAAGGCCTTCGCTTCCTTTCAAAAACGATGATGGCGATAGTGATGACAATGATGATGAGGGCGAACCCATGATCTTGCGTACTTTGAGTATCCTTTTGGTTGGCGCAGCGGCAGTCAATGACGAGTTGAGAATTCGTGCGTATTCCAACAAGAAACTCTTTGATAGTGACAAATAAAGCTGGAAATAAACTTCTCCCGTCCCTCGCTCTCTGGCACAGGCATCCATACGATGTTTCATTGCCAGAAATAGCTTACGACAGGGTGAAAACATTGGAAACTTTCCGGCAGCATCAATCGAGCGATCATTTTTGGCTTCGCGGAGAATGTTTCGAATCTGGAGAGTAGTTTCTTGGATATACTTGGAATCAAGCTGCCTTTCCTCCCTTTGTCTTTTTTCTTTTTCAGTTTCCTTTAGTCCGTTGCTGATGCTCCACATTCTCGAGAATTTCTTTTGCTTTGTTGTTGGTGCCGAGGATAGTTTGTTCTCTTTGCCAAGTATTGGGATTTCACCGTCCTTGGATGCGGAATTGTCAGGATCCTTTTTCGCGAAATTAGTAGTATTGGGGTAACCAAGAGTCGTGATCGAGACACAAGGTTCCAGTTCACATTTTGTCTGTAGAAAGAACCGGGCATCCTCTTCCTCCAGATTGTAACTACAAGATCCATTGATGGCCAATACAATGTGTCCAACCTCGAGACAAGAGGGTGATAACCAATCATTGTCGCCGTGCAAATGCGCAAAGGTCAAACAGCGTTGCTGTGACACAATTTGACTTTCAAAGTCCAGATCCATAGGCAGACAAGTATGCTGTTTTGGTTGTACAAAGACTGCCTGATGCACCATCATTTCTCGTTTGGCTGTTTCCAATCTTTCAACATTGCAATCAGTAGAGTTTGCTGCCTTGTAAAGACAAATGGTAATGACCCCAGTCGCGTGACTCATAATCTCCTGAAGGGTTTCCAAGTCCAATGACTTGCACAGCCTGCCATTGAAGGATATCACTAAATCGCCCACTTGAATAGGCAGTTTTGTTGGATGATTCAGCAAGCTGTCCTGTCGTTCGTCGAGTGCTGCGACATAGACGTCATCCTTTAAATCAAGATGATGATGATTGGCATCATTTTGGTTTCCCAAATATTCTTCATCTGAATCCTTAGTATTAGACATCATTGCAGTGCTGGTTCGCTTGCCGAGCTTGACTCCAAGTCTCTGATCCGTAGACGACCGAAAGAGTGTCAGACTAATCACTTCGGGTTCTTCCACTCGAAATGACTCGGAGGACGCAATCCAATCGATGGAGGAAGAGGAATAATCGGACGATGATAGAATCATCGAAGGAGGCGGATGCTGTGCATCACTAATAATAATATCATCACTTCGACTGGAAAAGAAAAATCTCCCCATTTTTCTTCTTCTTGGATTTTATGGAAAGAGCGAGTCTTCCTGCAGTTGTAGTCCCCTAGCAATAGGATACAGCAAGAAGAAGAAGCTGAGTTTTGTGTTTTTGGGCGAGCTCCACCAATATATATTCGTTTAGGTTGATGCTGCAAACTTGTTCAACATGTTCCCTCTCAGACCAAATTGAATGATGGATTGAAAATGGCAATGATTCCACAATGGCGTTGAGAAAGACTTTATGGATGTATTGCACAGCGATATAAAATGACCTTCGCATAAAATAGTAGGATACAATAATGGACATTTTACGCACAGAAAAGGAATTTACAAGATTGGAAATTTGAGGGAGCTTCGGGGGTCATGGTATCCCACAAATAAGGGAGGGGAGCATGGAATGCGTCCCCGGAAGCTGTGGATTTTTCTCATCAAACGCTCGACACCAAAGTGTGCGTATGCGAAAAAAAATTTGCGATAGTACTATAAATGGTGTACGAACAAAAGTGTTATGTAGATTTCCACCACGTCATATTCTTTGCGGCTAATTTAGCGAGAGTTTTCATTTACGTGGACAAGCCACAAAGTGCGTTTTAGTGGGTGGTAGGAAAAAACAACATCTGTGTGTTGACGCCCCCTCAAGAGAAAAACGACTGATCAAGCCATCAAAGGAAGAGCAATTGTGGATTCTATTGACATCAAAGGTCATAGCCACACTACATTATCAAGGAATTTGTTTGAACTCGAGGCGAACGCTCCTAGAATCATCAATTCAATTTCTTTGAATACACGATACGCAATTTCAACGCACAAAGATTGCTTCCGCACGCTAAATACCCTAGTCAAGGAACGATGAAAAGGATATCCGATGCTGCGATAGCGTTGATAATAGTGTCTTGCAGTTGTAGCACAGTCACTGCATTCACAACACATCATCAGCCAGGTCGACATTTGAACCGGCTCCATCACGACCTTGTTGTTCAAAGAAGAACAGTTCAAGAACCTGATCTTATTCCTATTCTACAAAACAAAAACAATAACATACAACAACTCAGCTATCATAATGGAAGAACACAAAGGACGAGACTTTATTCCAGTCCTTTCGGATCTGGTCCTAATTCCTCATCATCCTTTCCGAATTCTGGTGGTGGCTCCTCCTCCTTTCCAAACAGTAACCCACAATCAGGTGGTCCATTGGCTAGAGGCGGATCATCGAACAATAACAACCCATCCCCCTTTGGACAATCCAACACGAATGACAATGATCGGCTCGGACAATCCCAAATAGCACCACGCAACACGAATGACAACAACAACAACAATGGTTTTGGTGGTCAACAGCAGAACAATGGTTTTGGTGGTCAACAGCAGAAGCAAAACAATAATGGCGGACCTGGTTTTAGGAATAATCAGAATCCACAACAAATATCGGATGCGTCTATTGAAGACTTTCGAAAGGTATGTCCATTCTTCTCGTTGTCGCCGCTATTGTGTTCGTTCCATCGTTCTCTTTCATCTAGTGTACTCACACAAATGTTTCAAACAACATCCCTCGCTCCTATTTATTCATCACATAGAATCCACACCAAAACTTTCACTCCCTTGAGAATATTGGATCCGTCGTCCAAGGTAACTCCATCAAGACATGGGCCTTTACACCGGGCCAAAACCTAGACCGCGTCATGCTGGAGATTCACACTCAAGGGCGTCCCTTGGAAGCCAATGTGGAACTCTGGCAAGGTCCGGACAACAAACCGCAAAAGATGCGGGTCTACTCGGAAGATGGGAAACTACGTCCCTTTCGTGCTCTTGTGGAACTGCCCTGCCAACAAAATACCTTGGCCGTCAAGAATATTGGTCCCAACTTGGAATTCCCCCTCTCTGCCACGGTGGCGGATGGAGACACGGTGGAGATTAGTTACGCCAGTCCCATGCCGGCGGCACAAATGTACGAGTTTGGCACGGAGATGAACAACATTCAGGGAGGTTCCCTTCGAACCTATCCGTTGGGACCTGAGACGGCTGCCATCCAGATTGTCTTGCAAACCATGGGCTTGCCATTGTGTGCTCGGATTGAACTATCTCAAGGTATGAATATAGTATAGTTGTGTGCATGTATGATTGCATTGTATCAAGTTAGTCAATTGCTAACAGCTTCTCTCTGTTTTGTCATTATTCCAGGCCCAAACAATAACAAACAAGTGATTGATTTCTATTCGCAAGATGGAATGACGTACCCCGCCAGTCTTTCCATCGAATGCCCAACGGGTGAATCGCAAACACTTCGAATCATCAATTCTGCCAGTATGGAATACCCCATTATTGCCTCGGTGGAGCCAGTTCTGTCTAACACGTACAACGGCAATGTGGAAGTCCTTGGCAACGCCATGGATCCAGGACAGCGGATGCCTCGAACACTCGGTGCTAGCGGAATGGGATACACCATTCCTGGCAATAGGAATAATGATTTTGCTTCTCCTCAAAGCACCAGAAAGCAATCCATTGCAACCGTACCAGTTGGTTGGAACCCGGGATCCTCGAATAGTAACGGAGTAGGACAAGGCGGACCAGGTAACAATGGTGGCTTTGGTGGAGGTGGTTCTAATTCACCGTCATCAGGCTTTGGTGGTTCCTCCGACAGTGGACCAGGAGCATCGTCGTTTGGAGGCAACGGAGGCTCCGGTGGCATGGGCGGTGGTGGCTCTTCTGGATTCGGAAGCAATAACGGAATGACTGGAGGCGTCTCGGCCCCAGGTTTTGGATCCTCCCCAGGGTCATCAGGTAGCAGTGGATTCGGAAGTTCCGGAGGCAGTTCATCATTTGGATCATCCAGTGGTGGAATGCCGGGATCGTCTGGCATGGCATCTGGTGGCACATCAGGTCCAGGTGGACTTGGCGGCTCCGGTTCTTCATCTTCGTTTGGTGCTAGCAAGAGCGGAGGTGGATTCGGCGCTTCCGGCGGTGGCTCATCATTTGGAGGATCATCCAAGGGCGGTGGCTTTGGTACCACCGGCGGAAGCTCATCGTTTGGTGGGGCGTCTAAGAGCGGTGGAGGATTCGGAAGTCCCGCAGGCACTTCATCGTTTGGGTCATCCAGCGGTGGAATGCCAGTATCTTCTGGCATGGCATCTGGTGACACATCAGGTCCAGGCGGACTTGATGGCTCCGGTTCGTCATCTTCGTTTGGTGCTAGTACGAGCAGAGGTGGATTCGGGGGCTCAGGTGTCAGTGGTGGATTGGGAGGCGCTGGAGCCAGCTCGTCATTCGGTGGATCATCCAAGGGTGGTGGCTTTGGCAGCACCGGCGGAAGTTCATCGTTTGGTAGGGCGTCCAAGGGCGGAGGTGGATTCGGAAGTTCTGGAGGCACTTCTTCGTTTGGAGGATCTTCCAAGAGCGGTGGTTTTGGTAGTACTGGAGGAAGCTCATCTTTTGGAGGAGCGTCCAAGAGCGGAGGTGGCTTTGGCAGCACTGGCGGAAGCTCATCATTTGGAGGAGAGTCGAAGGGTGGAGGTGGATTCGGAAGCCCAGGAGGCGCTTCCTCATTTGGCGGAGCGTCCAAGGGTGGCGGCTTCGGCTCCAGCTCTGGTGGCAGCTCATCATTTGGAGGAGCGTCCACGGGGGGTGGTTTTGGCTCCAACTCTGGTGGCAGCTCATCGTTTGGAGGAGGAGCGTCCAAGGCGGGTGGCTTCGGCAGCTCAGGGGGCGCTTCGTCATTCGGCGGAGCGTCCAAGAGTGGTGGCTTCGGCTCCAACTCTGGTGGCAGCTCATCATTTGGAGGAGCGTCCAAGGGTGGTAGCTTCGGCAGCTCCGGTGGCACTTCGTCATTTGGCGGAGCGTCCAAGAGTGGTGGCTTCGGCTCCAGCTCTGGTGGCAGCTCATCATTTGGAGGAGGAGCGTCCAAGGGTGGTGGCTTCGGCAGCTCGGGTGGCGCTTCGTCATTCGGAGGAGCGTCCAAGGGTGGTGGTTTTGGAAGCTCAGGTGGCAGTCCTTCCTTCGGAGGGGCTTCTAAGGGAGGCTTTGGCGGTTCAACTGGTGGCTCATCGTTTGGAGGCGCATCCAAGGGTGGATTGGGAAGCGCAAATGGGGCTTCTAAGGGAGGCTTCGGCGGCTCTTCAAAGGGTGGATTTGGAAGCTCTGCTGGAGGCTCACCATTTGGAGCTTCAAAGGGAGCAGGCTTCTCTCCCTTCGGATAACCGAATGGTGGTGGTTTTGGCAATCTTTGCAGCAGCGGTGGTGGATTCACTGCCGTACCTGAAGGTGTGTCAACCAGATCCGACGTTCCAGCCGACAAGAAGAAGGGCAATGACGTCGTCAAGCCTTTTGGGATCTCGCCATTTGGCATGTAACAATAATAGACTAGATTTCCACGCCATGCAGGTATATAAAATAATCCTTCTGCATATTCAAGATTCTATAGTTATGATTGTTCTATATTTTACGCTACCTCTGCTCCAGCCATTCCTCTCTGCGCTCTACAAGGTCCTACGCTGGTAACTAATGGGACTCCCTTGAATGTTGCTACACCATCATCATCGGTCTTCAAGTCGGGGAATATCTTGTCCAGCATCTTTTTCTTGCCAACTTGGTTTTCTGACGCTGGCTCGCCACTGAAGCCCTCGGTAGAAATACGCTCTCCGATGGCAGCATCTGCTGGAGGCTCTACAAATTCTGTCATTTCGCCATTTGACGCACAAAGGACCATTCCATGTGAAGGGAATCCAACGAGTTTCCGGCTCTTCAAGTTAGATAGCACCAGAACCCTTTGGCCTTCCAGGTCCTCTGCGTTGTAGAAATCTCGTAGACCTGAAGCAATTTGACGTGGCCCAGATTCCTCACCGATATCAATTTCTTCGCATATCAGCTTATCCGCCTCTTCATGTGCCCATGCCTTTGTGATCACACCGACACGTATGTCAAGTTGGGAGATATCGATTTCTCGGTTCACCTGAGGCTGAGCCACTTTCTTGGGCTTGGGTTTCTCCGTCTTCCCAGCAGTGTTTGCTTCCCCGGGAATTTCAAATCGTGGGAAAACGCTTACAGGTGGTTGCATGGGTGTCAAGGGTTGAACGGGGCTCGATTCCAAGTGGGCAAAGGTCCGCTCATCTTTTGGAACAGTGATTTGATCAAGAATTTTGTTTGCTGAGTCTGGAATAAGAGGCTGATAAAGGATAGCAGAATATCGGATCACTTCCAAAAGAACATATAGTACCGTCTTCATACGTCTAGGGTCTTCCTTATTCAATTTCCAAGGCGCCATAACATCAATGTATTTGTTTGCCTCCTTTACCATAGTGACCATTGCTTGAGAATACTGGCTGATAGCTTGGTTGGCAATGGCTTCTGCGGCCTTTTCCCGCAAAGCTTTTGCAGAGTTCAACAAGCTTTCGTCTTCCGAGGTAAGGTCACCAGGTTGGGGAACGGCGTTATCACAGTTCTTATATGCCAATGTGCACACACGCTGGCAAATATTGCCCAATTCATTTGAAAGATTGGCATTGCATTTGTAAACCATGGAACTGTCGGAATAATCACCGTCGTTACCAAAAGGCACCTCAGACATTAAAAAGAATCGTGTCGGATCCACCCCGTACTTCTCAACTAAATCTACAGGGTCGATGACATTGCCTAGAGACTTGGAAATCTTTTCACCGTCCTTGGTCCACCAACCATGAGCAAAAATTCGTTTTGGAACTGGCAATCCAGCAGCCATCAAGAAGGCGGGCCAGTAAACAGTATGGAATCTCAGAATATCTTTCCCTACAATATGCACCGAGGCGGGCCAGTACTTGGCGAAATTTCCTTCCGGAGACTCATCAGGGTAACCCAGAGCTGACATATAGTTCGCCAAAGCATCAATCCATACATACATCACGTGATCTTCATCCCCTGGAACTGGCACTCCCCACTTGAATGATGTTCGGCTGACAGAAAGATCTCGAAGCCCCCCCTTGACAAAAGAAACTACTTCATTCTTTCTTGACTTGGGAGCAATGAAATCGGGACTAGACTCGTAAAGTTCCAATAATTTGTCTTCGAATTCACTCAGCTTGAAGAAATATGATTCCTCCTTGGCAACCCATTCGACTTCAGCACCTGTTGGTGCCTTGCCATCCACCAGCTCGGACTCATTGTAGAAGCATTCGTCACGAACCGAGTACCAGCCAGAATATGTGCCCTTGTAAATGAATCCCTTGTCGACGAGTGTCTTCCATAAGTGCTGTTGTTTAGAAAATTAAAAGAGAAGCATGTGAGCTAAAATCCATGCAATTTTGAGTCGCAAAGTATTGTAAACTCTTACCTGAACTGATTCTTTGTGCTCTTGTGATGTCGTTCGAATAAACTTGTCGTTGGAAATATTCATCAGATCCAATAGTTCTCGGAAGCTCTTTGACACTTCATCTACGAAATCCTGCGGATCCACTCCCTTCTTTTCAGCCGATTGTTCAACCTTTTGACCATGCTCGTCTGTTCCACTCAGAAAAAAGACTTCTCTGCCGCTGAGTCGCATGAATCTTGCAATCACATCACATGCAGTCGATGTATATGCATGTCCAATGTGTGGCTTGTCGTTTACATAATAGATAGGTGTTGTGATTTCAAAGGGGCAAATTCCATCATCAAAGGCAGTAGCTGGGGTTCCCAAAACTGCATTAGACACTGCTTCCACCGCTGAAGATCCCAAAGCTACATTCGATTGTTTGGATAATTTGGTGGGAGACGACAAGCTGAAAGCTTTGGCCGATCCAAAAGTGCAAGAGAGCACCAGGAACTGATTAAATATTTGTGTGCATCTCATCGCGCTTTACCTGCTTGTGGTATGTTGCTTTCTCAAATAGGGAACTCTTTGTTTTTATTAGAGTCGAACACTTTCGACGGGAATACTCATCGTCACTGAGATTTGGGTGATGATGATGAATTCTGATGTCAGCCTCTCTTCGTACGTTTTCGTCAGTACATCTTCCACGTCAGCAGAAATGTATGCGATACGGCCCGATGATTGATGATGGTACAGGTATGTTCTACGAGTACCTCTAATACTATAGACAGTCATACACAATATTTCGTTCGGCTTTTTCATGTACAGTTTACAATATGCTGATTCATCTATTGCAAAGGTAACTTTTTAAACACAATTGGCAATCAGGCAGCTGGGATGGCCGGCCGGTTTGGCTGTCCTCGTTATTTGTCTTCCATCTTGGAGACTGTAGTCTTCAAACGTTTCATCTTTGCCTTGATCCTTTTTCTCTGAAATCTCCGATCCGAAGAAGTGATTGGTGCATCCATTTCCTTAGCTCTGTTTGTTGAACTTGTATGTTTCTGCTTCCTAAGCAGTGTTGTTTGATTTGGCGCATATGCCCCCAGTGCACTCCGACCATAGGCCTGTCTTGAAAGATCGTTCAAATAAGGGGAAGTATAGCGCGATTGTGCATTTGGTAGGTCACTTGGATATGAAGAGTACTTGTCCTTTGCACTGTCTTCATAAAAGAAAGCTCCAGGGGGAGCACGGTACATCTCTGGTCGCCCCAATCCAAGTCCCAAACCCAACTGTTCCTGTTGCCACTCATCTCCTCCTTTGTTCCATATGTAGGGGTGCGGTCGGCTTCTGGCACTTTGAGGTGCTCGAAAACTATCACGGGAGTAAGAAGAGGTATCAACGTTTCTGTCACAGTGCTGTCTACTTTGATGGTCTTTCGGCTTCTTCCGCGTTTCAGAATCAGCATTGGACACTAGCCCTCGTCCTCGTCCCCGCCTCGCGTTACGCTCATAATCAACAATGGCAAGCTCACCACTTGGATAGGTAAACCGGCTGCTCTTGGTTGTATTGACAGCTCCAGTTGCAGCTCCTGATTTGCCTTTTGGGCTGATTCGGATGCCTTCAGGTTCTGCTGTACCAACATTCTGTGGCAACGAGAAGACCCGTCTATCTACGGTGCAAATCTTTGCTGGTACAACTTTCTTGGCATTAATTCTTTCCGATGGGTCTCGTTTGCGGCGGGTCTTTGTAGTGTCCAAGGTTGTCTTGAGATCATTTCTTGCTCTTGCTGTGGCTTTACTTCGAGCTGCTATGTACCGCGCAAGGTAATCGCTTCCGTTGTTCTCTGGATTCAAATTTTTGGAGTCTTTGCCAGCATCTTTCGCTTTCACAGTACTGGCAGTAGTTCTATCTGTTTCTTCTGACATTGAAACATGATTTTTCGCTGTCTTCTTTGGCGTATCCAGGTCTCCTCTGATTGAGCTTGATCGCCCGCCATTGTCTAAACTCAAAGCAATTGGGACCTGAGGCAATGGTGGTACATCTTCAGTTCGTTGGGAAGCTTCTTCCCAGAGAGGCAGAAAGCAAGGTTTCGTCTGGCTTTCATCGTTCAACAATTGCCACGCTGCTGATTTTATGCCAGCATATTGTTCTCTTGCGATAGTCGCATTGGGTATTCTGTCCATATCCACCACCATGGGCATATTGTCCATTGATTCATCCAATCGCTCCAAATCTTGTCTAGCTTGTTTGTGAGGTTTGTCCAAAGAGATGGATTGTTTTGTATCTTCCGTTTTCCCACTGTCCGAATTGAAACTCTCCCTCTCATCGAAAGGTACAGGCATCTGCTTAGTATTGAAACTCCCCTTTTCATCAAATGGGGCAATCGACAGCTTGCTATGGAAACTTCCCCCTTCGTCGAAAGGAACAGGTTGTTCTTGGGGTGGATCTTCTTTTTGCTTAGAGCCGCTTGTCATATTTTTGGCTCTGAAATTCTGAACACTGTCATCAGCATGTTTCACCAAATCATCTCTCACTGTCAATGGTTTTGGAGAACCACCATGGGGTTTGAGATGAGATGAATAGTTTTCTTTCTGGTCGGAATCAATTTTGCCTGCTTCAGGCATTTGATCTTCTGCCTTATTTGCACTCATCACTGACTGGACAATTCCTTTGTTTTCATCTTCAATTTGGTCCCACGGAGCATTTTGGATTGGCAGTGCAAATGGGTCCGCAAGCAAAGATACTTTATTATTTTCCACTTTGAAGCCCATCCTCCTACCTGCCAAATTCAAGCGTATGCATATCTGGTTTCCTTGGGAACTAGAAATGGCAACACCTGGTAATGCGCTTTGCATATCTGCAAAAAGTCTTTCGCGTTTCTCAAGGTCTCTAATTTCTGATATGTCAAAGGCACCTTCCACCCGATCACCGTCAACAGTCACTATCAAATTATTGTCCTCTAGCTGGAGCTCAACAGCTGGAACTCTCTCAACCTTTCTGCTTGATGTGTCTTTAATAATCGGCTGAAGATGATCATTTTGCTCAATTGCTGCCTTCTTCAGATTTTCAATATCAAAATCAAGCTTGGCTTCTTTGGTGTTTTCATGGTCAACATGGATGCTTGGTATTATTGGATCATCTCTAAACATCTGCAAAGTGCCCAGCATATTGCTGCTAGGTCTGCCCAGAGTAACCTCTTTTTCAGACTCATCATTCACACAAAGCATAACTGGCTCCTTAATCAGCGTAGCTGCAGAATCAAAAGCCAGAACCCTAGGGTCTTCCAATCGGTGGCTACCGTCTATTGAAGATTCACTTTGCACCATCTTGTTATCCACTTTGGTTCTGGTGTTATCAATGGCACGCACATCTTCAGTGGCAACCTTGACATCAGTAGTTGCGGTCTTCTTGTTGCTACCTTGTCCATGATACAACCTACACGGCTGCTCTGCTTCAAAATCAACAGGCAGTCTGTCCGAATGTTCTGAATTGGAACGTCTGCCTTCACTTAGTGTTGCATCCTCAGCAAGCGAATGAATTGGCACATCTACTGTGCCAGCTCTTGCCCTAGTGACAGTATCAAGAATATTGATATTGTCGCTGATATCCAAAGTGTCATTGTCCGCAAGCATGCTGATATTGATGGTTGCATCTGCGCTGTCATCCGTTTCAGAAATGACTGTCTTTCCCTCCTGGTCACTGCTGTGCTTTTGCTCCCTCTTGTAAGATTCTTGTTCTTTCGAAGCCTGTGCAGTGAGTGCGGTATCAATTTGTTTGACCAATGCACAGATCTTGTTCTCGTCTGATTCAGCAACAGCAATTTCTGCAATTTCTAGCAGTGGCCCTACTCTTGGGATGTCTTCCTCAATTGAATCTTTTGCTGAGGCAGTATGGTCACCAGCTGCAACCAAATCCACTGCCTGGTCACTTTTGAAGGGTTCGGTTGTCTCAATTCTATGCCGACTAGGTCCGTTGTCACTACCTTTCACTCTGGCTTCAGGATGGTCTTTGTCAGGTCCAGTAATCTCGACATCATGGACAGAAGAATCACTTTCATGCGATGCTTTTCCGACTTCTGCTTCAACATCCATATCAAGATCGACCGTTTTCTGGATCAAAAGATCATTGTTTTCTTCCCATTCAGGAACTGATCGATCATCGGGTACAGGATCATCTTCTGTGACAAGAAATTGATCTGGGAGTAAATTTTGTTCGAGCAGATTATCTTTAGCATCCTGGTGGTGGGCATTGTTCTCTGGTAATTGCAGAAAAGCACCAGGAAGAATTGTTGGTGTTCCAAAGCCTTTTTGGATTGTTTTTGGATTTGTGCGGGAAATATCTACCTCTTCATGGATGAGAATATCTATGTTTTCTTCCAATTTGGGAAGTGATCTATCATTTGGAACAAGATCATCTTGTGTGACAGAAGGTTTCACAGCAATTGAATCATGTCCGTGCAGAATTTTTCTGGCACTTTGGTGAGTACCGTGCTCCTGCAATTGCAGAAAGGCGCCTGGAAGGATTGTTGGTGTCCCAAAGTATTTTTGGATTCTTTTTTTATCCACACTTTCTGTCACTTGAAGTGGTCCATTTGCTTTCAGGTTTTCTTCTGCCATTTGCTTCAAATCAGGTTCTGGCAATCGTAGAAAGGCATCAGAGAGAACAGTTGATGTTCCAAAGAATTTATGGACTCTTTTTGAACCCCAGCTTTTTACCACTTGGCTCGGTCCATCTTTGTTCAGGTTTGTTTCTTTGGTTCCTTTAACATCAGGTTCTGGCAATCTTAAAAAGGCAACAGAAAGGACAGTGGGCGTTCCAAAGCCTTTTCTGATACTATTGGAATCCTCATGCTCAACTTCCATCTGTTCTACTTGCAATAGCGGCTTGCTTTTTGGCAGCAGATCTCCGTCATCCATGATGTTGCTATCCATTTTTACAGAATCACGAGCCCCTGATAGATCTTTAGCAACAAAATCATCCATTTCATTGTTAGCAGGGTCTTCGTTCTCAGCAGAATGAGCAAACAAGATGGAATTTTCCCTTGTAGTCTTGTCAGTACAAAAAAGTTTGCGTCTTGTGATGTGCTGGTGGTCAACAGAGCCTATGCTATTGCTCCTGGATCTTTCACCTGGGCTGTCTTCACCAGGTTTTGGTGATTCAATGGACTTGACGGATGGTTGAGATGCTAATGCACTGCTATCAGTACTGGATATTGGCTTTGTGGTTTTGTTTGGATAGGAGTTGTTCATCGCAGCGATTCCATCAGAATTTTTGACCAGAGACTCATTGCCAGCATTTTGTGATGGCATGCTTTGGTGGCTTCTTGCCTGGTCAATTTGAATATCCACCACAGTATCATTTGTTTTCTCACCAACGTCTGTTGGCATCTCTTTCTCGCAAGGGCTTTCGATCGGGCTCATATTGCTTTTTGTTGGTGTATCGTCCTTTGTGTCTACTACAGAAGTCGTTGCCTCCTTGGTCTTGATCATGGAGCTGATTGCACCGTCCTGTTGCTGACTTGGGGAGCCAAAGTCCATCCCAGGTTCGTTGTTGTCATGGACTTTGATATCTTCATCAGATCCTTGAGAGTCTATGGTTGAACCTAGATCACTGATCAGCTCGCTCTGCACGCTGGCTTCCGAAGGCACCACCATCTTGGTGGTCTTATCATTTTTGTCACGCAATTTTTGACGCCACCAGAGTAGAACTTGAGAATCTTGCTCATCCTTAGAGCCATCAATGCTATCAGAAGCTTCAATTGCTTGTGCAACATTCGTCCCAGGTTTCTCCTTGACACCATTGGCAACTTTGTCTACTTGGAGATCTTGCTGGCGCCCCAAGATGCATTGGCGAATCAACTCCTCTTGTTCAAGCTGCTTCTTTTGAAAATCACCTTCATCCAGATTCAGTTGTTCTAAAAGAAGTCTCTGTTGCCTCTGTTTTTCGATTTCAAGGCGATTGCCGTCATTCTCGAATCTGACTGAAGGTCGGAAGCGTGACGAGACTGTTTGAATCAGAGAAAGGCGTCCAGGACTAGCTGACCCTGCAAAACCGCGATTGCTAATACTCATATTCTCTGCCATTTGTGGTACAGACTCATCTCGAATATCTGATGACACACTTTCTTGATCCTTGGCACCTTCAAAAGTCTCATCTCGAACAGCTGATGTAGAATTTCCTTGAACCATGTCATCGTGAACAGCTGAAGAATATGCTTTTTGAGCGGTGACATCTTGGACAACTAGTATTGGTTCATATTGCTTGACACTTTCAATCTGTGATATCGCAAAACCATCTTCTTCCGCAAAATCATTGTCTTCATGCAGCGGTGTCGGATCAAGAATTGGATCGATTTGCTCCATTGCAGTTGGGGATACGCCATGTAAACTCTGCAGTATGAGATCTTCCTGCGCTTGCTCGGCCATCCCAATTTGATCCTTATCAATCCCCAAGAGTTCTATCATTAGCCGCTGCTTTTCTTCCTTTTCGAGTGCAAGCGAATTTGATCTTCTTGATTGTGTTTCGATGGAAGCCGAGTAAGGTAGATTTGAATCGAAGATCGGCATTACCTCCTCGGCAGCTTCACTCGATTGTGGTTCCAGTGAGGATTCCCACTCTTCCTCATCAGCTATTTTTTGTTGTTGTGGTTTCTGTTCACCAAAGCGATTTCCACTCTGGTAAGGTGAGGGTATCTCTTCAGCTGCAACCAGCTCATCATGTGCCCTTTCACTCAATTCCTTCTTTTGCTTTTGAGATACAGTCTGAGAAACCAACACGGCCTGCTGATCTTGTTGATCCTTCATCGCATTTTCGTCAAGCTTCAACAGATCCATAAGAAGCTTTTGCTGTCGCTCCTTCTCAAGTTCCAAAGCAGACTTTGTTCCCATGTGTTCCACTACTGGTCCAGTCGACTTGGCTGATTCTGCTGCCACCTCGACACTGTATTTTTCTGTGTCGCTTTCACTTTTCTCCTCGTCATGATCCTTCTCTGACAACATTCCTTCACTTCGGTTCGAGTTGAAAATGGAACCAAAGACTCCAACCCTTGGTCCTCCTTGTTTATTCTCATTCGATTCAACAAAGCTGCGACTAGAAACTTGGAGCGTATCTTTGGCATCCTCGACGCTGTCGGCTTCAATAACTTCACCACCCTTGGGTTCATCAGTGACACCAGAAGACAAAGACGTTGCCTGTCTAGCGTCCGGTACAAAGAGCGACCCAAAACCTCCAAATCTTGAGTTCTTTGGAGCAGTCACATCGTTCTCATCAACAGTGGCGACCAGCTCTTTGGGTGCTTCTAATGACTCACTTCCAAGGGTACTTCTGCCTTCTTTCTTTTGAGATACAGTCTGAGAAACCAACACGGCCTGCTGATCTTGTTGATCCTTCATCGCATTTTCGTCAAGCTTCAACAGATCCATAAGAAGCTTTTGCTGTCGCTCCTTCTCAAGTTCCAAAGCAGACTTTGTTCCCATGTGTTCCACTACTGGTCCAGTCGACTTGGCTGATTCTGCTGCCACCTCGACACTGTATTTTTCTGTGTCGCTTTCACTTTTCTCCTCGTCATGATCCTTCTCTGACAACATTCCTTCACTTCGGTTCGAGTTGAAAATGGAACCAAAGACTCCAACCCTTGGTCCTCCTTGTTTATTCTCATTCGATTCAACAAAGCTGCGACTAGAAACTTGGAGCGTATCTTTGGCATCCTCGACGCTGTCGGCTTCAATAACTTCACCACCCTTGGGTTCATCAGTGACACCAGAAGACAAAGACGTTGCCTGTCTAGCGTCCGGTACAAAGAGCGACCCAAAACCTCCAAATCTTGAGTTCTTTGGAGCAGTCACATCGTTCTCATCAACAGTGGCGACCAGCTCTTTGGGTGCTTCTAATGACTCACTTCCAAGGGTACTTCTGCCTTCTTTCTTTTGAGATACAGTCTGAGAAACCAACACGGCCTGCTGATCTTGTTGATCCTTCATCGCATTTTCGTCAAGCTTCAACAGATCCATAAGAAGCTTTTGCTGTCGCTCCTTCTCAAGTTCCAAAGCAGACTTTGTTCCCATGTGTTCCACTACTGGTCCAGTCGACTTGGCTGATTCTGCTGCCACCTCGACACTGTATTTTTCTGTGTCGCTTTCACTTTTCTCCTCGTCATGATCCTTCTCTGACAACATTCCTTCACTTCGGTTCGAGTTGAAAATGGAACCAAAGACTCCAACCCTTGGTCCTCCTTGTTTATTCTCATTCGATTCAACAAAGCTGCGACTAGAAACTTGGAGCGTATCTTTGGCATCCTCGACGCTGTCGGCTTCAATAACTTCACCACCCTTGGGTTCATCAGTGACACCAGAAGACAAAGACGTTGCCTGTCTAGCGTCCGGTACAAAGAGCGACCCAAAACCTCCAAATCTTGAGTTCTTTGGAGCAGTCACATCGTTCTCATCAACAGTGGCGACCAGCTCTTTGGGTGCTTCTAATGACTCACTTCCAAGGGTACTTCTGCCTTCTTTCTTTTGAGATACAGTCTGAGAAACCAACACGGCCTGCTGATCTTGTTGATCCTTCATCGCATTTTCGTCAAGCTTCAACAGATCCATAAGAAGCTTTTGCTGTCGCTCCTTCTCAAGTTCCAAAGCAGACTTTGTTCCCATGTGTTCCACTACTGGTCCAGTCGACTTGGCTGATTCTGCTGCCACCTCGACACTGTATTTTTCTGTGTCGCTTTCACTTTTCTCCTCGTCATGATCCTTCTCTGACAACATTCCTTCACTTCGGTTCGAGTTGAAAATGGAACCAAAGACTCCAACCCTTGGTCCTCCTTGTTTATTCTCATTCGATTCAACAAAGCTGCGACTAGAAACTTGGAGCGTATCTTTGGCATCCTCGACGCTGTCGGCTTCAATAACTTCACCACCCTTGGGTTCATCAGTGACACCAGAAGACAAAGACGTTGCCTGTCTAGCGTCCGGTACAAAGAGCGACCCAAAACCTCCAAATCTTGAGTTCTTTGGAGCAGTCACATCGTTCTCATCAACAGTGGCGACCAGCTCTTTGGGTGCTTCTAATGACTCACTTCCAAGGGTACTTCTGCCTTCTTTCTTTTGAGATACAGTCTGAGAAACCAACACGGCCTGCTGATCTTGTTGATCCTTCATCGCATTTTCGTCAAGCTTCAACAGATCCATAAGAAGCTTTTGCTGTCGCTCCTTCTCAAGTTCCAAAGCAGACTTTGTTCCCATGTGTTCCACTACTGGTCCAGTCGACTTGGCTGATTCTGCTGCCACCTCGACACTGTATTTTTCTGTGTCGCTTTCACTTTTCTCCTCGTCATGATCCTTCTCTGACAACATTCCTTCACTTCGGTTCGAGTTGAAAATGGAACCAAAGACTCCAACCCTTGGTCCTCCTTGTTTATTCTCATTCGATTCAACAAAGCTGCGACTAGAAACTTGGAGCGTATCTTTGGCATCCTCGACGCTGTCGGCTTCAATAACTTCACCACCCTTGGGTTCATCAGTGACACCAGAAGACAAAGACGTTGCCTGTCTAGCGTCCGGTACAAAGAGCGACCCAAAACCTCCAAATCTTGAGTTCTTTGGAGCAGTCACATCGTTCTCATCAACAGTGGCGACCAGCTCTTTGGGTGCTTCTAATGACTCACTTCCAAGGGTACTTCTGCCTTCTTTCTTTTGAGATACAGTCTGAGAAACCAACACGGCCTGCTGATCTTGTTGATCCTTCATCGCATTTTCGTCAAGCTTCAACAGATCCATAAGAAGCTTTTGCTGTCGCTCCTTCTCAAGTTCCAAAGCAGACTTTGTTCCCATGTGTTCCACTACTGGTCCAGTCGACTTGGCTGATTCTGCTGCCACCTCGACACTGTATTTTTCTGTGTCGCTTTCACTTTTCTCCTCGTCATGATCCTTCTCTGACAACATTCCTTCACTTCGGTTCGAGTTGAAAATGGAACCAAAGACTCCAACCCTTGGTCCTCCTTGTTTATTCTCATTCGATTCAACAAAGCTGCGACTAGAAACTTGGAGCGTATCTTTGGCATCCTCGACGCTGTCGGCTTCAATAACTTCATCGCCTTTAGTTTCATCGCTTTTCTCCAATGTCATCATCTCCTCTTTTGAGCTGGCATTGAGTGACTTTTCGGGTGGTGATGATTCATCTCTTCCAGGGCTGAAAAGTGAACCGAAGACACTAACTCTTGGCTCTTTTGGTGTGTAGGCATCTTCTTCAATTACAATAGGAACATAGGGAGCCACTTCTTGCGAAGCTTCAGTGTGTTCGACATCCTTTTTATTGTCTGAGGCATCGGTTTTTGATGACATTTTCTTCCCTTTTGCTTTTGGTTTTGGAGAGAAAAAAGACTCAAACCCCGCGCTCTTGATGGCTGTTTTACTGTTGCCTCCATTCGTCTTGTCCGCAGCTTGGTCCGAAATAGGCTGTTCGGACTCTTGAACCTTTGCGGCTTGGATCAAGTTCTTCTGGGCAAGCTGTTGCTCCTCGAGCGCCTCCTCTCCCAAGAGTAGTTTCAGTCTCTCCTCCTGCTTTTGTTTCTCCAATTCTAGTGGATTTGTTCTTATTGATTCGGCTTCTTCTTGCTTTTGTCCTTGTCGGAAGAACCCGAACAAAGGCGGGGCTTTTTGTTTAGGCGCCACTTCTTTCGCTGGAGAAGGTGCCGACTTTTGCTGTTGTTCATTATTTGGGATGGCTGCACTGTTATTTGATTCTTCCGATTTGGTTCCCTGGATTTCTTCTGTTGCTTTTGCATTCGCAGGTTTGGGGCCCAGGAAGCGGAAGCCGAAAAGCGTTTGTGTCGGAGCTTCTGGTTCAACAAATTTCTTTTCTTTTTTTGATTCTTCATTGAGAACATCCTTCTTTTCTGGTGTTGCCTCGTCTTCTAATTCTGGTAGCGCTTTCGATTCACTTTGTGGCAAGGACAATCCAGGAAATCCTAGCAATGACTTTTGTGCTTGAGGTGAAGCGATTTCGTCAGTTATCTCCTCCCGCTCAATGGAAGTTTCTTCCAATACATCCTCCTCCTCTGCCTTGGGCAGTAGCAGCGATTCTCTTGTAGACGAGGACAATCCAAGAACGCCCAACAGAGACTTCTGTGGTTCAGGCGTCATGAATTGTGCTTCCAATTGATCAGGATTGACAATGGGCCCATCTGGCTGAGAATCATCTATTTCCTCAATCAGGTCTATGTTATTTTGGTTGGAGCCATTTGCGACTTTTGCGTCTTTGGGATTGCGTTCAAGTTCTCCTTGGAATAGATCCCGTAGACTACCAAATACAGAAGATCGTTTACTCATGTCAATGGCATTATCATCGTTTTGTTCTTGGTCGACTCGCGAGTTGGTTTTGTCAAGTTTTTCATCTTCTTCCAGATTGTTGTCCCTTACAGGATCCTGTGGTGCCGTCCCATCGACTTGATCTTCGGCGTCATGTTCGGTGGGCTCAGTTGATGTATGATTTGTGGCAGGGTCTCCTTGGAACAGGTTCCGTAAACTACCAAAAGCAGATGACCTCCGACTTGAATCAATGACATCATCCTGTTTTTGATCTTCCTTGAATGATTTGGTATCCTCATCAATACTTCCCACATCTTCCGTTATCTTGTCAACGACATCACTAGTAGGCCGTGGATTGCTCGATTCTTCACCCAATTTATGCTTTTGATTGGTCCTCGGATGTTCACTTTCATCAACGCTGTCAGCTCCAGCTATTTCAAGGTCCCCTTGAAACATATTTCGCAGGCTACCAAATACTGAAGAATGATGACTTGTATCAACATCGCTCTCTTGTTCTTCAGCCCCTTGGAGCGGAGTGTCATCAGGTGAGTTACCTGATATAGCCTTTTCCTTTCGTGGTGATGATGGTGGCGATCCTGCAGATGACGACGAATCTTCCAAGTGAGATTCGTCATTGGATAAAGGTATTTCTGGAAGCTTGAATCCCCGCTCGGCTTCCTTCGATGCCTCATCAATAATCAGAGATCCCCACTTGGTCGGAGGTGTTGCTTTGTCTTCTCCTACAAAATCCTTGACAATTTGGAATTTCACTCTCTTTTCTTCCTCTAACATTGCCTCTGATATCCTTTGTTGTGGGCGTGGTGAACCAAATAGTTGAAAGAAAGAGCCACGTCGCTCTTGAGAGCCTACTGCATGTTGTGAATGCGACATGGTTTTTTGTTTCTCGTTTTGTTGCAGTTGCTCCACTGGCAGAGACGCGACCCTGATATACTGTTCAGCAACTTCTTCACTTGATGGGCTGAATGCTTCTAGAACATCAGCACCATCGCCTTCATCGTCGTCTTTTCCGTCCAACATGGTGTTGGGTACTCCAGATACCTCTCTTGGAGGACTGGAGAAATCGAATGCCTCCAGAATATCGGCATTATCGGCATCGTCTTCAATACTGGGCTCTTTTGAGATCTCATCTTCTGACGAACCCGTGACTCCAAATGCTTCCAAAATATCAGCATCGTCCTCATCGTCTTCTGATGGACTCGCACTCTCCTGATTTGGTGAACCCGTGACTCCAAATGTTTCCAAAATATCAGCATCGTCTTCATCGTCATCTGACCTGTTTGGTGAACCCGTGACTCCAAATGCTTCCAAAATATCAGCATCGTCTTCATCGTCTTCTGATGGACTTTCCCTGTTTGGTGAACCCGTGACTCCAAATGCTTCCAAAATATCAGCATCGTCTTCATCGTCTTCTGATGGACTCACACTCTCCTGATTTGGTGAACCCGTGACTCCAAATGCCTCTAGTACATCGGCATTATCCTCTTCGTCTTCTGATGAACTGGCACTCTCCTGATTTGGCGAACCCTCGACTCCAAATGCCTCTAGTATATCAGCATTATCCTCTTCGTCTTCTGACGAACTCGCACTCTCCTGATTTGGTGAATCCTCGACTCCAAATGCCTCTAGTATATCACCATCATCTTCATCATCTGTTGGTACGGTATTTTGATTTTTTGAATTCTCTTCTTCCTGTGGACCATTGTCTCCAAATGCCTCTAATGTATCGGAATCATCATTTTCGTATTTATTCTCTGAGGCAGAATGATACCCCCTTGGACTTTCTTTTGGTGGGTCAGTTACTCCAAAGGCTTCCAATATATCAGCATCGTCATCTCCTTCTTCAGCAAAATCATCGTCATCTTCATTTTCGGAAGCAGTATAGTACTCTCTAGGACTATCTTTGCTTGGTGCTGTAGAAATTCCGAATGCTTCCAAGATATCATCGTCATCATCCTTAGCATTACTACCATCGTCTTGTTTCGTCTCGTCCATTTCAGCCTGACTGGGACGATGCGAATCCTGATTGTCTTGTTTCTGTCTGCGGGAGAATCTGCGAAACATAATAGTAGGGTTCTGATCTCTGATCGATTGCGATGGGCGGAAACTATCTAGAGCTTTCTTAGATTATTCAAACATTAATCCAGGCCTTGTTGATTTGTTCTTGGTGATGTTGATGAGGTTATTCACCAAAGGTAACCGCAGAAACGGCGCTGCGCTAATAGAAAAAAAACACGGGATTGACAGCGCCCCACCAAATTCCTCGCCATTTTTGTCAGACGTATGAACCTTCCCCCCTTCTTCTTCTCTCCCCTCCATTCCAAATTGCCCACAAATCGAAACGTGGATTGATTCATCCGACTACTGTTGTCAAAATCTATACTATTAATAGCTATATTGAATATACCGTAGAGTAATTTTTATTTTTAAAAAGCATCGATGAAAGACCAATACTGGGTTCAAAGCGCATGGTGTTGGAGATTACAATACCAGCTCCGCACAATGTACGACGAAAGTTTCGCTGCTCTGGCTGCAGGCTCCCCATGGGCACTGTTGTTGTCTGTCCCATGTTAGCCTTTTCTAGTAGCGGCAATTTCTCTTTGACTTGTTTCTATCTCTCGATACACCTATTCACATGCATGACCTTATTCCAGCGGTATTGAAAGTCGGAATCTGATTCATCGCCAACGTGGTCCCTCCGATCCAAGTTTTGATCATTCAGTGCTCTAGCCATGAACGACCAAACACTTGTTATCCATTGATCCGAACCGAATGGATCATCTCTGATGACCCAGGCGCCATATTCGGCAGGCGTCATTGATTGGTTCTTGATCTAAATTGTCCGGCCAGAGTTCATGTATGTCATCTTCACTGAACACAGAACTATCGTCTCGAGGGCGGTTCTTCTCGCAAAAGAATATAAGACACTTTCTTTCATCACAATGTTGACCAAAGTTTGAGCAAAGTTCACATTTGGTGTCGCCGAAAGAGCTAGTACATGCAATGGTCCCATTCCCATTGCATCTTCGTATCTCCCAAGGCGAATGTATTGTTTCATTATTGCATCATCGAGGTTCTTCAGAAAGCTTTGGTCAGACTCTTGGTTGTTGTATGACTGCTGATAGTAGCACAACTCGTGGACTGGCAACCCATGAAACCGCTTTTGGATCCCTTTAATAATGCTACTACCCGCCAATCCTCCACACCCACAAGCCGTTCGAGCTTGCGGCAACCGCTGAAAATGGCGTCCCCTGAAGTCTCAACCGACTTTGAAAAGTGAATGTTGATGAGCTCGGAACATGCCCATCAAACGCAAGACGTTCTATTGTTCCAAGTGTCGGAGGCAATTCGATGGATCTTAGACTCTTGCACGCTCGAAAGGACATCGTATGAATCACTCGTACCGAAGAAGGGATTCGAATGTTTACAAGAGGTGCACAAATTTGAAAGGCTCCTTCTCCAATGCATTGAATCCCATCGGGCAAATGAATTTGGTGGCACGAGGCAAACGCCCAACTTCCTATTCCAGATAAGGATGATGGCAATCGGTAAAGGCTACCGAGCGAAAGACAATATCGAAAGGCACTGTTCCCAACGTGAGTGATCCAAGATTGCCGATCCGTTGAAATGAACTCCACCTTGGTCAGTTTGGCATGACATAACAAGGCATAATCTTGGAGACTGACTCGTCCGCATCGACGGATCGATCACCACGTAATTCGATATTGCTGATTCCATTGTGAAGAAGACTCTTCCGGTAGGCTCTTTCTTGTACGAGTAGTGTCGTTGTTGTTTTGTGTTATTTTAGGATGACGCGATCACAAGAAAAGCGAATGCGGCGAAAAAGTCGAAATGACTCATTCGACCAATTCAAGGTTCCGGTGGCGAATATTGGGGGAGCGCTTCAATAATGTTCAAATGTGCTACTTCTATCACTGTACGATACATGTACAATAGGGTCAAGCGATATTTTTAAGACATACTGTATATTTACCGAATACCGCGGGAAGATAGATTCATTCCACTACCGGACCGCCGCTTTTATTTCACGAACAGATGTTGGTCCATTTTTATCAAAATTCATACCCAGCACATCAAATCTCCTCGCTGAAGCATTCAAAAACACAGCTATAAAATACCTGGCATGGCTTCGCTTACCCACCATGACGAGTCTTCTTGGCTCTCATGTTTTGACTGTTCTGACAAGAATTCAGAGTCGTCAGGTAATAATACTGCTTACATGACTGTGCCCATCAAACAAAAGTCGCTTCAGACAGGCGACGAAATGAAGCAAACGGAAGCCTACCTCGCTGCTGAACTCAATAAGCTAACAGTGCAAGAACGAGCAAAGGCGATGGACGACATCCACTGCGTTGGCGAAGAGCTCAATGAGACACCTGAGATGATTGAGCAATCACTAAGGGAGTTTGATCATTTAGTTCAAAAGATGAAAACTCCAACATACGAAATGGCCGTGAATCAGAACAAAGCTTTCGTCGAAGACCCTTCATTCTGGCTTCGGTTTCTGAGGTGCAACATGCACGATGTCAATCGATCCGTACGTCAAATGATGGAGTTTTTGAAGCATAAAGCAACTTATTTTGGGGAGGACAATGTCGCTCGGGAGATCACCCTAGATGACCTGAATGATGCAGATATGTCGTTGCTATTGTCGGGCCTGTACCATATTCAGGATGGAAGAGATCGCAAAGGACGAGTCGTTTTGTACATAACAACAGAACTTTTAGGCAGGTGTAAGCTTGGGAACCTTGTAAGTCACAGAATGATCGCACAAGTTGATCGTTTTTTGATTGCGTTCATGAATCAATTGCTAAAAGAATTTGCTCTGCCTTCCATAGATCCACGTTATATATTACATATGGAACAATATCTTGATTCCTATTCCGGACTCTCAAACAAAAGGGGTAAGCCTAACCTTCTGTCGTTTGTACAGACCAGCGCCCTCAATAGCTTGTCTTATTCACCAATGTCCAAATGTGCACTGTAGGTTGTGATGATACTATATGATGTGACGAAACCAGGAGAAAAATTTGTGATGCCTCAATATAACTTCATCACGTACACAAGCGTGATGTTATCATTTCCATTGCGTTATTCTGCGATGCATGTCTGCCTGAAGACGGACCTTGGGAATTTATCATTGTACAACGCCCTCGTGAAAGGTTCCCTTTGCATACTTCCAGAATATGCGAGAGCCCGAGTTCGTCTCCATTATGGCACTGACATTGAAATACACTATTATCTTCGTTCCCACGGTATATCCACCCAAACGTGTCCTGTCGATTTAAGTGGGAATCTGCGTATGGACATCTTGAATAGTTGGTTTGAGAGACACTGCGCCGAAATTGGCGCCGGAAAACGGCACGGTAATGACTTCTCCGGATATCGTTCATTGCAGCTCCAAACATTAGCACCAGAAGTGGTCTGTGATCCTCGGCTAGCGCTCGATCGTAAACGGCCTTTGCCGCAAGATGTGTTGCTAGGAAGAGGATGGAAAATGCAAAACCATGAAGGCAATATCCATTTTCGACAGTTCGTAGAGGGATACAGACAGGCATATGACAACACTCCACGACAGCAAAGGCGTGACTTTGCTGGCAATGTGACCCGTTTGCTACGTGGGAGAGGGGTGATATTTTGGAAGAAAACAGAGGACGGTGAATGGGTAGAGGGTACGTTTGAAGAGGCCGAGAAGAAGGTTGGGGACCTGTTTCGGTCGATGCGTCGGAAGCTTCCATGATTCCATGTGCATTTCAAGGAGATGCATTGCGTCGGCCACCATCGGTTCTAAGGTAGACGAGAGGACGAAAATTAATCCTGGATATACCATCCTGGATTTACCCGAGTTTCTTCCAACCGATACAATGACGATGTGTAGGAAGAGACTTTCTTGGTCAACAAAAGCCCGAAACTCCATCACGACTTTCTTTGCACGAGCAACGCCCTACTGTTCTGTGTTTTTTATTTGCAGTGTCAGTAGGGTCGCTCATGGCTTGGCGATGATGGTATTCGATGATAAGTCACCCCACGAATTATCATCACGATGAGAGTTGGCATCGTTCTCAGCATACATCTTGCGATCGTCTGGATGGGTACGCTTGGTGTCGTGGAAACGAAATCGATTGCCGAAAAGGAGGAAAAGGAGCAATTCATGCGCCTCATTATTAGTTGGACTGTTTCCCTCTTGACTAGCTACCGTATCCTATCCTACCTATATTAAAATCTACCTATGGAGTACTGTTTACCGAAGGAAAATGAGAATGGCAATCAATATTCGTATTCGATGAATTTCTTTATTCCAAAATATTAGCGCATAACCATTTGACGCCAGCATCTACGTAAGTACTTTATACTGTATGTCTGTACCGGTACGCAGCATGCGAGGCAAAATAATATTACGAGTAGATGACCTGTAATACTGTACCGGTAGTATAATTGTATATAGCTTCTACAACAGTGCTGCAAAGGGCCACCGGTACCGGTATATGTTTCGGACCAAACTCCACATCAACAGACAGGATAGTTCATCCAACGAGTTACAGTTGTCGGCGCATTAGAATCTAAATGGCTTCGTTCATCCAACATGACAGCTTTAGTCAAAATGGAACGCCTTGGCCCTCATGTTTTGACTGTTCTGACAGGAATTCAGAGTCGTCAGGTAATGCTGCTTACGCGAATGTGCCCTTCGAACAAAAGCCGCTTCAGATAGTGGATGAAATGAAACAAACGGAGGCCTACCTCGCTGCTGAAATCAGTAAGTTGACTGTGCAAGAACGAGCAAAGGCAATGGACGACGTTCATTGCGTTGGCGAAGAGCTCAAAGAGACACCTCAGATGATCGAGCGATCCTTGATGGAATTTGATCAGTTGGTCCCAAAGCTGAAAACACCAATGTATGACGTTGCTGTTAATCGGAACAGAGCTTTCGTCGAAGACCCTTCATTTCGTCTGCGGTTTCTGAGATGCAACATGCACGACGTCGATCGATCCGTACGTCAAATGATGGAGTTTTTAAAGGTGAAAGCAACCTATTTTGGGGAGGATAAGGTTGCCCGGGAAATCACTTTAGATGATTTGAATGATGAAGATGAGGCCTTTCTGTTGGCGGGCATGTACCATGTTCAGGCGGAGAGAGACCAAAATGGGCGAGCAATAGCATATTTTGCTGCTGATATGATGGGGAAATGCAAACTTGAGACCCTTGTAAGTCGAAGAATGGTTCCCCCGATTGCCGCGCTAACAGCATATTAGAGGGTTTTAAGTGCTGACAAGCTCTTCTGACTTCCGCAGATCCATATTCTATTTTTCATGTGCAACAATATCTTGATTCCTATTCCGGAAGTGCAGAAGAAAGGGGTATGTATTTTGCAATGAACCGGGCCTGTCGTATTTGCTCGTTGGTGACATGTCTTATTCAATGGTACCTGAACTATAGCTGGTGGTCGTACTTTATGACATGACGAAAGCAGGGGAGAAATTGGCGATGCCTGGCTTCAACTTCATTCGGAATTGGGGGAACGCTACGGCAGCCTTTCCAATTCGATATGCTGCAATGCATATGTGCCTCAAGACGCACAATGGGAATTTATCGTTATATAATAAGATCTTGGAATCTTCGATACAATTTCTTCCAGAACATGGGAGAGTCCGAATTCGCCTCCATTATGGCACTGATATTGAAATACAGTACCACCTTCGTTCCCATGGTATACCCACCCGAACTTGTCCCGTCGATTTAAGTGGGAACTTGCGTATGGATATCTTGAACGCTTGGATTGAGAAATATCAAGCAGAAACTGAGGATGAGAAACAGCATCGCTCTTTACAGCCCCAAGCTTTGGCATCAGAAGTGGCCTCCAATCCTCTGATAGCACTCGATCGTCGGCGACCTTCGCCGCAAGATGTGATGCTAGGTAGGGGATGGAAAGTTCAAAACCATGAAGGCAATATCCATTTTCGACAGTTTGTGGAGGGTTACAGACAAGCATACGATATCACTCCTCGGCATCAAAGACGCGAATTCGCTGCTAACATTGCCCGTTTGCTCCATGAGAGAGGAGTCCTCTTTTGGAAGAAAGCAGAGGACGGTGAATGGGTAGAGGGTTCATTTGAAGAGGCTGAGAAAAAGGTTGGGGACCTGTTTCGATCAATACGTCGGAAGCTCCAGTGATTGCAGTTGGATTTCACATTAGGCTCAATTCTGAAGTACGAATGCAATTTTTTGGATGGTTAGCCATAGCTCGAAATCGATTCGCTATTACGAGGAATGGGTTGCGATGGGCAAAGTTTACATCAGCTGAAGCTCACCAGAAGATCAAACCATGAGCATTCCTCAAGGCATTTACTGAAGCAATAGATGGTCTTTTTGATGTTTTGATAACAAGATTGCTATTTGTAGTAGAAGAATGTACAAAATGTAGAGATGTGCCACTAAGCTATGGACTCCCCGTGACAAGATGGGTCTCCCCTAAATACATGAAGTATCTGATATTCTTCCAGAAGAATGATGTGTGGAATAGTCATCGTTGAAGCTACATTTTAAAATTTTAAAAGTGCTCAATGGAAAATAGCAATCGCGCATGCACTGGTTCTCTTGGCATGTCAGGAATATTAAAAAAAGAGAACTGGCGGGACTATTGGTATTTTCCATATAAAGTGGAAGAACATTGGATACTGTCTCTGACTGAATGTGTGTAATGCCGAAATATGAAAAAGGGGCGGAAAATGAGTCGATAAAGATTGATTCAATCGTGGTCAATGAATACCGATAGGTGACGGGTCCCGAAGGCCATTCGAACGGAAATAATTCTGATCGCTACTAATAAATACTAATTTGCAGACGGCTCAAAAAAGAAGGCCGAATCACGAGCAGATTTTCTATTTTTTACACTTTGTATATGTTATAAAATATATTATATCATCACGCTCTTTTCGCATACGGTATTATAGTTCAAACAAACAAAAAACACCAACTTTCATTTATCCTGCTGTCGGTATGCCCGAGAATCTCGTGGCTGAAGCAAAACGAGTAACCTAATGGCTTCCTTCATCCAACATGACAGCTTGAGTCAAAATGGAACATCTTGGCTCTCATGTTTTGACTGTTCTGACAGGAATTCAGAGTCGTCAGGTAATAATGCTGCTTACATGACTGTGCCCTTCGAACACAAGTCGCTTCAGACAGGTGACGAGATGAAGCAAACGGAAGCCTACCTCGCTGCTGAACTCAATAAGCTAACAGTGCAAGAACGAGCAAAGGCGATGGACGACATCCACTGCGTTGGTGAAGAGCTCAATGAGACACCTGAGATGATTGAGCAATCACTAAGGGAGTTTGATCATTTACTTCAAAAGATGAAAACTCCAACATACGAAATGGCCGTGAATCAGAACAAAGCATTCGTCGAAGACCCTTCATTCCGGCTTCGGTTTCTGAGGTGCAACATGCACGATGTCAATCGATCCGTACGTCAAATGATGGAGTTTTTGAAGCATAAAGCAACTTATTTTGGGGAGGACAATGTCGCTCGGGAGATCACCTTAGATGACCTAGATGATGAAGATATGTCGTTGCTATTGTCGGGCCTGTACCATATTCAGGATGGAAGAGATCGCAAAGGACGAGTCGTCATGCACGCAACCACTGACATGTTGGGGGGGTGTAAGACTGAGAACATTGTAAGTGAAGCATATGGGCCACCTTCTTCCAAGAATACAGTAGAGTACTTATCGGTTGTGTTCATGGATCAATCGCTTACCAGAGTTTATATCATTAATATAGATCCACGTTGCATATTACATGTGGAACAATATCTTGCTTTCAATTCCGGAAGTACAGACAAAAGGGGTAAGTCTATCTTTTGTCGTTTGTACAGACCAGCACGTTCACCATCATTGAATTTTCTAAATCAACACTGCCCATATGTCACCATAGTTGGTGATCATATTTTATGATTTGACAAAACCTGGGAAGAAGTTTGTGATGCCTCGATTTAATACGATTACCTACACAAATGTGCTACTATCCTTTCCATTGAGGTACTCTGCAATGCACATGTGCCTCAAGAAGGACACTGGGAATTTGCCGTTGTACAACGCTCTCGTGAATAGCTCCATATACATACTGCCGCAGCAAACAAGAGCTCGAATTCGTCTTTTCTATGGCACTGACATTGAAATACACTACTATCTTCGATCCCACGGTATACCCACTGACAACTGCCCCGTCGACTTCTATGGGAGTTTACGTATGGACATTTTGAACAATTGGTTTGAGAACCACAAAGCTACAATTGACGCCGGCAATGATCCCTCATCCGGATATCCCCCATTGCCGCAGCAAGCTTTGGCGTCGGAGAGAGACTGGGCGGCAAAAGCGATTATCCCAGAAGGTGTCTCTGATCTTGGGATTCTGCTCGATAATCACAGGCTACCTTCATCGCACGATGTCTTGCTAGGCCGCGGGTGGAAGCTGCAGAACCATGAAGGCAATGTCCGTTTTCGACTGTTTGTGGAAGGATACATATACGCCTACGACAACACGCCACGGCAGCAACGACGTGAGTTTTCGTACAATCTTGCTCGTTTGCTCCGCGGGAAAGGGGTTAAGTTCTGGAAGAAAACAAAGGACGGTGTATGGAGAGAGGGCACGCTGGAGGATTCTGAAAAGAAGGTTGGGGACTTGTTTCGATCGATACGACGGAAGCTTTCATCGTGATTGGACTTTTATTCCCAAGGCTGCCCCATGCTGAAGTACCAACACATATTGTGCCTTCTAAAGTGGAAGAGAAGACGAGAGTAAATGCTGTAGACTCATGTCTTTCTCAATTGCCGCATATTAATCCATAAGGCTGGGCGGCAAAAGCGATTATCCCAGAAGGTGTCTCTGATCTTGGGATTCTGCTCGATAATCACAGGCTACCTTCATCGCACGATGTCTTGCTAGGCCGCGGGTGGAAGCTGCAGAACCATGAAGGCAATGTCCGTTTTCGACTGTTTGTGGAAGGATACATATACGCCTACGACAACACGCCACGGCAGCAACGACGTGAGTTTTCGTACAATCTTGCTCGTTTGCTCCGCGGGAAAGGGGTTAAGTTCTGGAAGAAAACAAAGGACGGTGTATGGAGAGAGGGCACGCTGGAGGATTCTGAAAAGAAGGTTGGGGACTTGTTTCGATCGATACGACGGAAGCTTTCATCGTGATTGGACTTTTATTCCCAAGGCTGCCCCATGCTGAAGTACCAACACATATTGTGCCTTCTAAAGTGGAAGAGAAGACGAGAGTAAATGCTGTAGACTCATGTCTTTCTCAATTGCCGCATATTAATCCATAAGGCTGGGCGGCAAAAGCGATTATCCCAGAAGGTGTCTCTGATCTTGGGATTCTGCTCGATAATCACAGGCTACCTTCATCGCACGATGTCTTGCTAGGCCGCGGGTGGAAGCTGCAGAACCATGAAGGCAATGTCCGTTTTCGACTGTTTGTGGAAGGATACATATACGCCTACGACAACACGCCACGGCAGCAACGACGTGAGTTTTCGTACAATCTTGCTCGTTTGCTCCGCGGGAAAGGGGTTAAGTTCTGGAAGAAAACAAAGGACGGTGTATGGAGAGAGGGCACGCTGGAGGATTCTGAAAAGAAGGTTGGGGACTTGTTTCGATCGATACGACGGAAGCTTTCATCGTGATTGGACTTTTATTCCCAAGGCTGCCCCATGCTGAAGTACCAACACATATTGTGCCTTCTAAAGTGGAAGAGAATACGAGAGTAAATGCTGTAGACTCATGTCTTTATCAATTGCCGCATATTAATCCATAAGGCTCGCGTGCATGCTATTTATTCTATGTACGGTAGTTTCATTCCTAAGGTGCGTCGCCATAATCTACCAGGTATCTCGCATCCATTCCTCTCGACCTATTCCTGGCCTAAAACTTTCTCGAAAGTCTTGCCAATCTATATTGTCAACAAGCCACATACCATCTTCCAAGACCAAGTTCCAACCTGTAATTACAAGGAGCTTGGACGTATTCTTGTCTCGCAATCTACATTCCAACCAACATTCGTCGCCAAAATTCAACGGCTCTGACAATTCTACAGTGAAGTTCTCTCCTTCTCCGACTAGAATTGCGAATTGGTTGTCTGGGCGTCCAATAGCAGCGCCAAGTGCAGAAGCGACAATCTCCGCGTCGGCGTCATCGTTCGCTCCGACCGAGTGCAAGATTCTTCGTTTCCACTTTTTCGTGGCCGTTCGTAGAATGAGACGAAAACCAGCGTCCGGCAGAGGGTCAAATGGATGCAACAAGCCCTGTATGATATTTTGCACCAGTTCGGTCGGCGACGTCGATGTATTAGGTGGGCGCTTCAGTTCGTCTTCCAGAATTGACACCTTGAGAGTTCGAATTCGGTCGTGCAACAATTCCATGTCCTCTTGAGGAAAGAAGGCATCGCCTCTGTTGTTGTAGTAAGCAAACAGCAATGGTTTTTTGTTGCTTATTCTTGTCGTGATATCGTGAGATGCGAATCCATGAATCCCGATGGGCTGAAGGATCAGTGTGAACACTGTGGAAAGCCACACTTTCGTCTTCATTCTGTTCCTCTCTGCTGTAGTTTTTACAATCAAAATGGCCGCATGTTTCGACGTCGAAATTCTGATTTGCCAATTTTTGTGTTCGGAAAAATGCGAAGAACATTTGGAGCATCTTGAAGCTGTCTGAGACGACATGACGCATGTTCGCTTTGCGATCGCTTTTTATCGGGGGTGCGGTGCTGATGGTCCCTTATATTCTGTGAACAACCACAAACCCCAGTAATGCCATTTTCGAACTGTGTACGGGTACCTGATACGTATTCTGAATCGATGTCATCAGTATATAAAATAGAACTCAGCCTTATTCCATTGAAACCAATATTAAGACAATAATATACACATGCACACGAGTAGAAGGCTCCTTGTAAACAAACCATGCCCGGTCCAATCTTTAGTGTTCCCGACACGGAGGCTGCCCATAACGTTCGCCACCTGATAGTTGATTGTTCTCAGGTCAGCAACATCGGGCATCGAGCCTACTAGCTACAATGAACAGGATTTGAAAACGGTGAAGTTTACGAGTATCCTTCTACCGCCATCGACCAACCAAGACAGCAACGATGATACGAAAGAACCTGCACCTGCTGTTAGCCTTTTCATTTGTATCGAGTTGGATGCCTTTGCCTGGTGCAAGGCACTGGAGAACGTGTATGCATTCTCTTCCATCATCCCTCCTTCACATTGGACCGAGTGCCTTTGGCTACTGTTATCGTTTGAAGCATGCAGATTTACCAGATGGTCTACAAACCATTGAGAGAAATGCCTTTATGGACTGTCTTGCCTTGGTCACCATTCGCATCCCATGGAGTGTGACGACCATTGCCGAACAAACGTTCAATGGATGCATGCTATTGAGGTCGTTGGAATTGCCACCAACTTTGAACACCGTTGGATTTGGTGCCTTTCGTGATTGTTCCTCGTTGGTCAATATCTGCCTGCCGACAACTGTAGAGGAATTGCCTCGCCACTCGTTTAGCTATTGCACTCCACTGCTGACAAAATTTTCGTCGTCGAGCAATCCACTACTATTGCAGGCCCTGCAGACTCGGTTTGATGAGTTACCGCTTCACAAGCTCTGTTACTATCAGTCTTATTACTACTTCAATGAAGAAGAATCGTCATCGAGGGATGATTTGCTGTCAGAGCTACAAGAGATTCTGCGCAAGGATGATGAAGATTCCTCAGGTGACGACACGAGCTGTCTGCTGAAAAAGGATGCATTGGGCATGAATCCGTTCCATGTACTGGCATTGTCGGCTCGTCCCAACAAAGATCTTTTAAGTGTCCTTCTCAACCATGCTCAGAGAAGATTTACATTTACTAGTAGTGGCAATGCCGTGTCAGAAGATGTGTTGGCAAAGACAGATGACAGCGGCAATGATCTGCTGACATATGCATGCCGGAACATGTCGCCTGGGTCAGGTGAACAAATTGCACGATTTCTCAAGGTCGTCCATGCCAAGTCCATTGCCCAATTGGGATGTCATAAGTGGAGGTCCAAGATTCATTCGGAAATTGATGGCCGCTTTGTTGGGGATGAACTTTTGAGTGGTGGCGGCGAGGAAAACAATTCGGATACCACCTTTGCAAGCCGACAGCGCAGGACAAAACAAGTCGATATCGAGTTGGATGCCTTTGCCTGGTGCAAGGCACTGGAGAACGTGTATGCATTCTCTTCCATCATCCCTCCTTCACATTGGACCGAGTGCCTTTGGCTACTGTTATCGTTTGAAGCATGCAGATTTACCAGATGGTCTACAAACCATTGAGAGAAATGCCTTTATGGACTGTCTTGCCTTGGTCACCATTCGCATCCCATGGAGTGTGACGACCATTGCCGAACAAACGTTCAATGGATGCATGCTATTGAGGTCGTTGGAATTGCCACCAACTTTGAACACCGTTGGATTTGGTGCCTTTCGTGATTGTTCCTCGTTGGTCAATATCTGCCTGCCGACAACTGTAGAGGAATTGCCTCGCCACTCGTTTAGCTATTGCACTCCACTGCTGACAAAATTTTCGTCGTCGAGCAATCCACTACTATTGCAGGCCCTGCAGACTCGGTTTGATGAGTTACCGCTTCACAAGCTCTGTTACTATCAGTCTTATTACTACTTCAATGAAGAAGAATCGTCATCGAGGGATGATTTGCTGTCAGAGCTACAAGAGATTCTGCGCAAGGATGATGAAGATTCCTCAGGTGACGACACGAGCTGTCTGCTGAAAAAGGATGCATTGGGCATGAATCCGTTCCATGTACTGGCATTGTCGGCTCGTCCCAACAAAGATCTTTTAAGTGTCCTTCTCAACCATGCTCAGAGAAGATTTACATTTACTAGTAGTGGCAATGCCGTGTCAGAAGATGTGTTGGCAAAGACAGATGACAGCGGCAATGATCTGCTGACATATGCATGCCGGAACATGTCGCCTGGGTCAGGTGAACAAATTGCACGATTTCTCAAGGTCGTCCATGCCAAGTCCATTGCCCAATTGGGATGTCATAAGTGGAGGTCCAAGATTCATTCGGAAATTGATGGCCGCTTTGTTGGGGATGAACTTTTGAGTGGTGGCGGCGAGGAAAACAATTCGGATACCACCTTTGCAAGCCGACAGCGCAGGACAAAACAAGTCGATAAAATCATACACAGATACATCATGAAGGAACGTGTAGCATTGCTTGAGCTTGCAATTTGGGATCAAAGCCTATCACGATGTGTTTTTGAAAAGACAATAACTAATCCACGAGGCAGAGAAGATTGCCGAACGGCCAGTCGTTCCAATGTCATTGTTTCGAGAGTGGTCGACTTTCTGTATCCTTCATTAGAATAGGTGCAGATCTATTTCCGATTAAATTATATAACATATAATACTTTGTACACTACTTTCTATTGGAAATTTATCCATCATTCTAATCATATGTAAGGTAGAGACAAACTTCTCCAACATCCTTTGGCAGGAGACCGAGCCTATCGCCATATCTTGCTTTTGTCTTCGGCGCACCGACCAGAAGTCGCAAGCCGTCTACACTTTCCGTCAATGCAACAGCTGTCCCATAGCTGCCGTCCTTCCCCTCATCATCATAGGAATCGTACCGCTGCACATCTCCTACTTGATCCCAATACAAATGCTCTTCGTCAAAAACAAAAACACGAACTTGGCCTCCCTCTCCATGCTCTGGAGCACCGACTGCTAAGTTCTTCCCATCCTTCGTGAGCGAAACACTCTTGCCAAAACGATCAAATGCGGCATCTCCAAAGATTGGCTTCCCACGTGGGTTCCAGTTGCCATCTGGGGAATACTCAAAAACAAACGCTGCGCCAGCCTTTAGTCCGTAGTGAAACACGTCTTCTTCTCTGTTGGCGGTCGCCTCAGGCAATTCGTAATTGATTGCACCGATAGCCACAATGTTGCCATCGCCCGACAGAGAGACAGATGTCCCCAACAGGCCATGGCGCTGCTCACCGAGAATTGGCTGGCCTCGTAGTTGCCAGTTGCTGTTGTTGACAAACTCATAGATGCGGCAAGCACCAGCTTCATCCCAATTGTCTTCGTTGGTTGGACCACCCACAGCCACTACCAAACCATCGCTTGACAATGATACGCTCCATCCGTGCCATGCCGCTTTCGTCTCCGGAACTGTGATATCATCGCCCATCTTCACCCACTCGTTGTTGTCAAATCGAAAGATCGAGACTCCATTCCCCATTGGTGCACCGATGGCAAGAACGTCACCATTGTCGCTCAACGAAACGGAATGACCAAATCTTCCATACTCTTGAAGAACAGTTGGAACAATGTCGTCGCCCATCTGAGACCAAGCCTTTCCTGTTGGATCATACAAATAAACTTGGACCCGTCCAGAACCTTCAACTGTTCCAACGAGACTATTGGGTAGTCCAACTGCCATTATGAGGCCATCATTCGACAGGGCAATGGAATGTCCAAACTCATCACCGATTTGTTGTCCTGAAAGCTCCGGTCGTAGTACCCGATCGTCACCATCGACTATGACTCTGTTGAGCACAGTGTCGCTGCTGAGGCCGTACGCAAAGACATTCCCGTCTGAAGACATTGCCACTGAAAGTCCAGCAATGGCATGGCTATCGCGGTTGTTTTCACCAGACCACACGTACTCTGGACTATATGCAAAGATGGGTGCATCTGGATCATCTGCCTTTTCAACCCATTCGGTTGGAGCACTAGACGGGGCAGGGGTTGGATCAGGCCGAATTCCAAAAGTGGTCTTGTAGGTGGTGACGAACCCTGGATTACCAACGATATGTTTCTTGTTGGGGCTTCCAATTGCTAAATACGCATCTCCTCTTCCACCAGTCAGGGACAATGCGACGCCCAACTGGTCATCCTCATTTACAGCGTGTACTTCACCAACCAGGATCCACTGGCTGGGTCTGGTGTCAAATTCATACAGTCGCACTCGTCCCAGCTCGTAGTCTCCAACAGCTACTACCGCACCATCCTTACTGATCTCGACCGTTGAGGCCGGAGCGAACTCGTCCAACTTGCCTAAAATAGGTTCGCCCACAGGTATCCATTGGGAGTCTCCAATATCTTGGTACACTCGCACATAACTGTTTTCAAGGGTTCGATCGATGCAGGACACGACAACAGTGGCACCATTGCCAGAGAGGGAGGTAGAAGTCAACTCGATATTGTCCAAGCCAAAAGAGTCAAAAATCGACAAGTCACCCAAGTTCTGGCCAACTTGAGTCCATTCGGTGCCATTGAATTCATAAACGTTGCCGAATCCATCGGGCGGATATACATCATATGGTTGGGAATTCACTGCGACTCTAGAGCCATCGCCAGAGAGTGAAATGGAACCACCTCCAAAGGATCCAATGTCCACTCTCGATCCGAGGACCACCCACTCTCCAGAATTGGTTCTCTTGAAAGTGTGGAAGGAGTACCGTTCCGTCACGGCAAGGATGCTACCATCCTCGGAAAGTGAGACGGCATATCCACCATATTCCTGTGGAGGGCCTACGGCAATATCATTGCCGACTTGGTTCCAGCCAATCTCATTTGAATTGGTTGTGGTGGTGGTGGTCATTGACAGTTCGAATATTTTGACTCTTCCGCCATTTTTGCTTTCGGGCATGCCAACAGCAACATACTTTCCATCCCACGACATGGAGACGGAATGACCAAAGTCAGAACCAATTTCGTCGCCTTCAATGGTGGCACCAAAGACCCAGCTGTCGTCTGCACCATCTTGCATGTAAATGTTGACATAACCAGTCGAACCACGATCCACGGCTCCCACCGCCATGAGACGAGGGACCACCGTTTGAGACAAACTCACGGAAGATCCAAAATTATCATCTGGATTTCCAAAGAGCGTCGAGTCTTCCAACGACATCAAGTAGGTTTCTGGAACGAGTGAGCTGGGAGCGCAGTAGTCAGTTCGACTGCCATCGTCAGACCCTCCAGAACACCCGGGCACAAACTCAAACTCGGATCGTTGATGACAGCTTAAACCATCGGCGCAGTCGTCGTTTGTATCACAATCTGTATATTAGTCAATAATAGGAACGCGCAGAATATGTGTTAGTAGAGGCGACAGGATCAAATATATATATATAGAGTTGCGAATATAAAACACGTACCTCCTTCACATAATCCGAGAGGAAGTTTGTTGGTGTCAGTGATGATTGCCAAAGAAGGAAGCTTGATTGGAATGCAGTAATCCGAATTGCTATTGTCTTCCAACCCCCCAGAGCAGCCAGGAACCGGGGTGTTCTGATTTCGTTGAAAGCACATCAAACCAGGACCACAATCGGTATCGTCGTCACAATCACCCATGCACATGGAAAGAGGCTTCATGTCGCTAATTTCCAAGGCAGGAGCAGTGGACGGTGAAGGATTCGGTGGTAGCGTAGAAGGAGAACTGTCGTCGGATGGTTGGAACTGAACGTCCGATTGCATCCTCGATTCTTGATTTTGGATTTTAGAATCCATGACAAACCAGACAACAACACCAGTGGCTACCATGGCCAAAAGGACAAAGATGAGAGACACCAAGGTACAGCGACTGTTAGACTTGGAAGGACCTGCGCCATAGACAGTCTTATCATTGTCATTCGATCTTGGTGGAAGTGCGGGCTGAGATGCAGCTTCCGCGTCGTAGTCCACTGCAAGCGGCTGAGGAACTGCTTGATGCTCCGCATTCATAGAGACTTGTTCAGTGTTCATGGTGTTGTTTTGTTGGATATAATCACTTTGTAATTTTGAAATTTTATGTGATCCATGAACATTTGCTGGCAAGTTTGAAAGTTGCCGTAAGCATTACCGGTTATTGCTTTTGTCGTGCGATCGCATATAATAATCAGTAATGCACAAGATCCAAGAATAAAAATCCAAGTGACTAAGAATAACGGCTGTAACATCAAAGCACTAAATCAGTCCGTGGCTCCCCCGCGTTATTTTTCAGTCCGATTTGGATTTATGTCCGTGTCAAACAAAAAAAAGACTGAAGATTCTTTTTCTGCGATGGAGAGAACGAACACACTCCTACTACCGGTGGTACTATTATCCTCTTCTCCCCACCAGAACCCTTGTTCCATCTCTCTTTGAACTCCAACATACAGTAGCTCAATCGATCAAGATCATTACAGTATGTCTTCCGAACAAGACAACAACAGCGACAACAACTTCAATCGTCTTTCTTTGGGGGCAACCCTCCAAAAGACCTTTCACCTTTACGCCCGTGGGTTCAAGATCCTCACAACGCTCTCCGTATTGACCATGGCGTTGATTGGGTTCACCTGGTGCATCTTGCTAGTCTCTCTCATACCATTCTTTGATATTGAAGCCGACAAACTGTCGGATCCCAATTATCTTTTGGCACACATCGGAGGTTTCTATGCCATGATTGGGATTTTTCAGCTGGTTTGCGTTGTGATTGCGTCGGTCATGACTGGACCTTTGATTCGGGCCATTGTGGATCTTTACATTGGGAAACAGCCCAATCTAAAGCACTGCTTGAAGGTTGGAGTCATGAGAGCTCCCACCATCTTTTGTACTTCCTTTCTCAGCTTTTTTCTTGTCACGTTTGGCATGATTTTCTTAATGTTCCCAGGACTCTACATTGGAGTGCGCCTCTTCTTTGTCGGCCCAATCATTATTGTCGAGGGACTGGGAATATTTGCAAGCATGAAGAGGTCTTGGGACCTGATAGCTGGTTCTTGGTGCTATGTCTTTTGCACTGTAATTTTCTGCCAGATCTTTTTGGTGATGCTCAATGTGGTCTTTACTCAGATCATTCTTGGAATTGACGCTACCGGAGCTCTCTTTTCAGTCTATGGAACGCTTGCTTCGCTGGTACCAGGCATTATCGTCAATCCTATCTTTTCCATCGTCATGACGCTCATGTATTTGAACATGCGCATCGAAAAGGAAGGTTTGAATCAAAATGAGTTGATTCGCAACATGGGTGAAGCGGGCGCTCTGGAAAATGCCTACACTCCACTATTGGACGAGGAGGATTTCGAGGAAAGTCCACTAGCATTGAACCAGCAACTTGACCTCGAAGATGTCTAAGCGATCCTGTATGATGCCTTTTATTAGTTTTGCATGAATGAGTGCTAAAGCTTGGTTCTAAATCTAAATATTTATGTTTCTTCATAAAAGTATGTCTGTATCATCTTTCTTCATTCAACAGTACAGCCTTGCAATATAGGCTGCTTTTGTTGTTGTTGTTGTTCTTGTATATAGTCGAATGTTCAAAATCGAAAGACTTGACTATTTCTTGTTTTTGCCCTTGCCGTTCCCATTACCATTACCGTTGCCATTGCCCGGCGAAGAATTGGTGGGTCCAGGCGTTGGCTGTGGTGTGGGTAGTGGTGTAGGTGCAGGAGTTGGTGGTGGTGGTACAGGAGTAGGACCAGGGGTTGGATTTGGTGTGGGTTGCGGTGTTGGATTTGGGGTCGGAGGGTTTGTTGGTGGCGGTAGAGGAGTAGGACCAGGGGTTGGATTTGGTGTGGGCTGCAATGTAGGCCCAGGTGTTGGGCCTGGTGTGGGTGGCGGTGTAGGGCCAGGAGTTGGATTTGGTGTGGGGCCAGCAGTTGGATTTGGCGTGGGTTGTGGTGTAGGTGCAAAGCCGGGCCGGTCTCCAATCTCTCCCTTCCACACTTCCACCTTGGCATTTCCTGTTCCCGTAGCAGTGGTGATAGATGTTACCATGACGGTGACCGACTGACTTGTCCCAGCCCAGTTGGAAAATGTGACTGAGGTACTTTGAGAAAGCTTGGAAATCAAATAAGTTCGAGCGCCACTGTCGGTTGTCTTGGTGGTAATGGTGACTCGATTGTCAGCCTCAGTGGTACCGTCGTTCGCTCCCACAGCGTGATTGAACATGAGGTAGTAGTCCTCTTGTGGGTTGGCAAGTTTCAAGACTACATTCTCGCCAGCCAACACATTGGGAACTCGGTCGGCTCCAACTAGAGTTCCATCAAAGTTCGTCATCAATGGATCAATCTCGAGGTTGTATGGAGTGTACCAACCAAGTTGCCACGAGTGGGCACCATTGAAACACATTCTGTTTCCTTCAGCAACATCGTCGCCAGCTCCGGATGTAGAGCCCATGGCCCCAGTCAAGTCTCCGTACACGACACTGCCTTCCGATGCATGCCTGTAAAAAAATTAAACCAAATTTTGTATACCATTAGAAACAAGAATCATCATCTCAATCAAAGAACGGAAAGCAATGGAACAACTTACTGAAGTCCCCAATTATGTCCCAGCTCATGAATTTGAGTAACTTCATTGGCACACCAGCGATCACCATTGTAGACACTGAGATCGCCTCCGATATAAGCATATGCAAGCCAGTTGGTTTTGGTCGTGTCTCCATTGGAATGGGACCCTTTGGGCAAGCACAGCATGACATTGTCAAATATCTGACTTAGACTATTGACATAAAAGAGACTCTTTAGAGTTTCTACAGCAGTCGTTTCGAGAAAGCTGCGATCGCTCCCGACGGCATTGATAGAGAGTTGTAGATCCATCACACCATCTACCACATTGTTGTTATAGCTGACAAGCGATCCGCCTCCGCAAACGCAGCATTCCGTCTTGGCCGTTTTGGACCCTATAGTAATATATAGTAAAAGAACAAGGAAAAAGTTAGCATCATTGCTTGGTCGCGGTAGACCCAAAGCGCCCCATAACTCCTTACCATCGATCGTTGGTGACGTTTGTGTGGCATCACCATAGGCAGGACACAAATCTCCTGGCGTATTGAACTGGTAATTGTTGAAAAAGTCACAGTCATAAATAAGACCACCATCGTCGCGTGGAACAGCAAAAATAGCATCCGGATTGTCTTGACATGCTCCAGTGCCACTGCCACTGCCCGGATTGACAGTGGCAACGTTATTGGAACACCCTTCCACAAGGCTTTTCAAGTTGATACTGTCAGATCCACCCGTTCCAAAGACATCGCCACTGATTTCAGCCTTGCTCTTGGCAAGAGATCTATCATTAGTGCTCACTCGAACTACAAGAACTGACAAATCGCCAGTTGTTGCAGAGAGCCGTCTTCGTTCATTGCCTTCCGAATCCTCGGTTTCTCCAAAAGTGAGAGGCGTATCACTCCCAATGAACAATTGTTGCTTTGCAAGGCCGGGTGCGTGAGAGAACAAATTGCCCTTGTTGAATCGAGCTCCTTTGGCAAACAAGGTCGTACGTCCACTTTGAATGTCAGGCTTGGCTGCTAGAACATGTTCCATTCCTTCCACCATGACCGTGGCCTTCTTCTTCTTGCTACCAACATTCTTGGCATCGATTCCAGAGACTTCGCAGGCCCATTCGCTTTCATCGGTGCCGTCTTCAAATTCGACAATGACGTTGAATAGAGTGCATGGCAAGTTTTGTTCGTTTGGGTTTCCTTGTGCAAGACTGCCAAGCTGAATAAATAAGTCGGCATTTTGTTGAGAATCAAAGAATCAAAGCAAGCATCAAAGAGAAAAAGACCAAACCACTCTTACATACCTTAGAAGCAAGACCGGGAGGTGTTTGTCTGGGCCTGGACATTGCTGTGGCCAGCGCCTGTAGGAGAACAATAGCTCTCAACATCATCATCGTTTATTTGTTTCTTTTAGTTTATTTGTGATCCAAACGATTGATTTATTTTTTATATTTGTGAGATTTGAAAACAAACCCCGCGAGAGCACTATAGACTCCGTAAGAGAGACAAATGACGACATGTATCGTTTGTGTTATGTCGTTTGCGATAACGCCAATAAATAGATAAACACGAGCCCAAGATTGACATATTTAACGATATAGCCTGTTCGAATGAAACTGGACTCAATCTGTGCTTTTCATTGGCCCATCGTGCTACAATGGAAATTTCCTACTGGTATCATCCGCCAATTCACAAACCATTTTAGAACCCAACGGTTACATCTCATCATTCCCACTCAGACATTTAGCACCCAACGGGCCTTCAAGACTGTCAATGAACGGAAAGTCATTGGAAATGGTTTCGAAACTACTCTCACAGTTTACATTTATTCGACAACCTGATTGGAAGAATGACCCAAACTGGAAACTACAAACTTCTTTAGTTCTCAACGGTTTTATCAATGTCAGTGATCTCACCTCTTTGTATGTCCATGCCTAGACCGGAAGGTGCCAAATTTAACCGAAAGGGAAAATGGTGAAAACATTGTATGTCCAGCTCCTGGAGACACATATTTTTTCGCCCAAACTTTCCGAAAAGGGAAAATGGAGTTCCAAACTATCTCCCGAACAGAAGTCATTTTCGCCCAACAATGGAAAAAAGGTGTTCAACGGCACCCTTCCAACAACATGTGCAACGAATCATGACTCGCTGAAGGGAAAATAGGGTTCAGACCTATCCGTTCAGAAGTCATCTTTCTCCAACAAGGGAAAATGGTGTGTTCAATGCTACACCGCAAGAGAGGAGAATTCCATCAAGAACTACATACATTATAAAATAGAAACGATACGCAGTATAGACCCACCAGGACAAAGTGTGTGATCAATGGTACTATGGTAGAGCTAAAAGTTGATTTGACTGCTTCGATCGATTGGAATCTCCCAATAAGATTTGACAGCGTCGCTATATCTATCTAGAATATCCATACCATCTCCTCGTTGTTCAAGTCATCATTCATTCATCACCATGGGGTCATCATCATCATCATCATCATCATCATCATCATCATCATCATCTGAGAGTAGTCTTCTCATTAAAATAGCAGCCTTCTTTGGTGCTACAGGCGTTGGATTGGGAGCCATTGGAGCTCATGCACTCAAAGCCACCCTCACCAAACGAGGCACCTTGGAAAGTTGGCACATGGCGACTCACTACCAATTGGCTCATGCGGTAGCTTTACTGGGATTTGCTGCCAATAGTGACAAGATATCACCAACCGCTGGAAAGTTATTGGCGATTGGAACCACCATGTTTTCGGGATCTATTTATGGTTTGTCGTTGGGAATTGGTCCAAAAGCCATATTGGGGCCCACCACACCGATTGGTGGATTATTGATGATCAGTGGCTGGGCCATGGTTGGATTTACATTGGATTCCAAGTCCAAGGATAACTAGAGATATAGAAAAAGTTTAGCAACAAACTGCAAATTGGGATTTGTCTTGATTCTTTTCCATCATCAATATTCATACTAAAAACTTCAGTTACACTGCATGTGATGATGATGTCAGTTACAAATGTTTGATTGTCTATATTTAATTTGCTATATATAATTTCCTAACTTCTCGATATCCCTAGCTTGAAGTATCAGTCATATCATATAATCTACATTACATGACTTGATATTGTGGGCCACCACCGCCTTCCGGTACCGTCCAATCAATGTATTCTCCTGGCATCTTAATGCTGCAACACTTGCAATGGACGCAATTCTGGGCATTTATTACCAATTTCTTTTTCTGTTCCTCGGCATCCTCGACGTATTCGTAAACCGCGGCGGGGCAAAAGCGCTGTTCCGGCCCCGAAAAGTCCTTGATGGATATCGATTCGGCAAATTCGGCAAGCTCCGGCTTGATGCGCAAATGGGCGGGTTGATCTTCAGCATGGTAGGTTCCACTTCGTTGAAGATTAGTCAATAGATCAAAAGTCAATTTTCCATCGGGGGAAGGATAATCAATGGGTTCAAAGTCCTTCGCCTCCTTGGTTGTCTTGCTATCAGGAGTGGTATGGTCCAAGGTCCAAGGTTCCTTGCCCTTGAGCAGGTGAGCCGCCAAACCTGTATAAGCCAAACCAGCACCGATGCCCCACTTGGCAAAGGCTTGATGGCAGTTGCGTACTTCATACAATTCGTCATGGACCCAACTGGATTCAATCTTGCTGGCATAGGAAGCGACTTCTTGAGGAATGTGATCTTCGGGCAATTCGCCCGTTTCGGCAATCGAGTCGCCATCTCCCATTTCTTCCACAATGGCCTCGGCAGCGAGCATGCCCGATTTGATGGCAGTGTGCTAATACGAGTACAATGAGTATTGGTGTGAAAGGATGGCAGGAAAGAAGAAGAAGAAGATAAATGGCCAGTGAGTCGTCATCCACGAATAACAAAACCAAAACCAAAACCAAAACCAGCGCTACGCAAACACTCAACAGTAGTCTTACCGTTCCCTTGATTTTGACGGCATTCAAGAAGCCGGCACTGCATCCAATGAGAGCACCACCTGGAAAGGTCAACTTTGGAATGGCATGAAAGCCTCCTTCGTTCAAGACCCGTGCTCCATAGGAAATGCAAGTTCCTCCTTCCAAATGCGGTGCAATGGACGGGTGGGTCTTCCACCGTTGAAATTCTTGATAGGGATTCAAATAAGGATTGGCATAATCCAAACCGACGACAAGTCCGACCAGCACCATGTTGGGTTCCAGGTGATACAGAAAAGATCCACCAAAGACATCACTGGTCGGTGATGACTGGAGTGGCCAACCCAATGTGTGTTGGACCAATCCTGGCTGCAAATTCTCTTCTGGAACTTCCCAAACCTCCTTGATTCCTAATCCAAAGGTCTGTGGCATGATGCCGTCCTGACGCAAATCAAAATGATCCATGAGAAATTCCGAGCAACTGCCTCGAGCTCCTTCCGCAAACAAGGTTTGTTTGGCATGGAGTTCCATTCCCCGTTCAAAGGTTTCCTTGGGGGTGCCATCCTTGGCCAATCCGACATCTCGGGTCGCAATCCCCTTGACGCCTCCCGCCTCCAAAAGTACTTCGCTGGCGGCAAACCCGGGATAGACTTCGACGCCCAATTCTTCGGCTTGGGTGGCCAGCCATCGACACAATTGACTGAGTGACAAGATGTAATTTCCGTCGTTGTGAAGTTGACCTGGAAGTAAGATGTTGGGAATGGTATAGGAACCAGTCTCTGTCAATACTTTGAATTCATCTTTTTTGACGGCCGTCGCATTGGCTCCTTGACTGCTTTGGAATTCCTCAGTCCAATTGTCCTTTAGATCGGGCAAGAGTTCGTGCAGAGCCTTGGGATCAAATACATTGCCCGACAAAATGTGTGCTCCAATTTCGGATCCCTTGTCAATCACGCACACGCTCAATTCAGGATTCAATTGTTTGAGACGAATGCTGGCCGACAATCCCGACGGTCCTCCACCGACAATCAAGACATCAAAAGCCATGGATTCTCGTGGTTCGTCGACCATTTCGGAAGAGGACATGCATCGAACTGACGACGCCGAAGGCTGCTGGCGCTTGAGTGGTGTGTTCCCTTGCTTGTCTGTAATCGTGACAGTAGTATCATTGGCAGCAGTGACCAAGCTGCTAGATAATCGTTTGAGATCGGGGTGCCTTTGTTTACTATTGGCAACAGCACCACGACCTATGGAATAAGTACTACCTGAGGTAAGTCGAGCAAATTTGGTGCTGCTGGAGAACGACGACGCTCGGATCCAAGATTTTGACATCCACATAATGATAATGATGATGAGAAACGGTGTTTGTGTGTGTTGTTACAAGCCAGCGTTGCTTGGATGGATATTATGCTTGTTGTAAGTGCAACGTATCTTCCGTTGTCTATTGATGGGAAGCGGAGGTGTCAAGAAGTTGCGCGTCATGCGGAATGCTTTTCTTCGCCATCAAAAAGCGTTGGGAGGCAGGTATAGCAGTCGATGGAGTCAGTCGACAATATTGGACAGTCCAGTCGGTCGAATGATTGATACATTCAAATCTACAGATAGCACAGTACACAGTATATGCATAGTATTGCAAATGCTCATACCATATAAACAAGCAGCTACGTATGATTGCCGATCTGCGATCAACAAATAAACCTTGTTACAATGCCTGTATGCTATGGGTCGAAAAAACGCGTTATTTTTCAAAATTCATTTATTTTTAAACTTCCGAAATTCTCGGAACAACTGGGCAATCTTTGTGTTGGTCTCTTTATCATTGCTCTTCACCCACACGCCACTGTCTATTTGCTTCAGAAACCGCCTCCCCTCGGAACTAATGATACCACTGACCTCAGAAACGATCTCTTTTCTCCTGAGTCCAGGAGCAGTGTCATAGGCATCCCTGTACTTGAAAGCCAGCCCTCGAAAGTGGATATTGCCTGGATTGTATTGGACCAAGCGGCCTCGTCCGAGCAAGATGTCGCCGTCGGTAGGTATGATGGGCGAATACTTCTCCACATTATTACCTGATGCTCCATGAGCAACAGCATTGCCTACCAACGTTTCTGCGTCATGATTGACTGCAATGGCCCCTTTGGATCCTCCTGCTGATACCAATGCAGGAAAAATGCTACTCCGTCCCATCCCAGCAAGGCGCTCGTAGAGCCAATCATTTCGAATATCCTCACGAAGAGTGCCCTCCGCATCGATGGGGATAGAGTCGACGTTGATGCCGTGGCTCCGAAGTTGGTACTGCAACTCGGTGTCACTGCCATAATGCATACGACTCCTCACCTTACAGTAAGAATAATCCCCAACCACTTTGAATACGATTTTTAGTACTGAATTGAATGGACCAAGCTTTTCTTGGCGTGCCTTTAGGCAATAGTGTGTCGCTGAGAACCGGATAGGAAGGCTTAGTATCATGTCGATGCTTGCCATTGTCAAGTTGATGTGTGGCATTGTAGGCCGCTTTTCTTTCTTCGAAATGTCGTATAAAACGTATACGAGCTGGAAAGGACGACGAGCCAATGATATTAGTATGAGATCAACGAGAGTTGAGAAAAGGTGGACACACAAACAGTGAAATAGCGACGACTGGGCTGGATGCATCCACTTACTCCTTTCATCTGCACTTCTGGGATCGGAATGAGAATGTTGAAGTAGACATAGTAAGCAACTCGACAATAGGATTCCGCACTGGCGCCACCAATAAGCTCCGGGATCGAGTACATAACGACTCTGCCGCTTCGATCTTTATCCTTTTGGATATGATATTTTCCTGACAGTAACAGTTGTCGGTCCTCCTCATTCAAGTCATCAAAAGTTATTTCACGACCCACGCAATCGTTGCCAAAGTACTTGGCCTTGTTTCGAAGGAAGTGGAACATTTGACTTACTGCTCTGCCAACATTGTGCATATTAGCCCTGAGAAACTTCAAGCGAAAGGAAGGATCTTCAACGTATGCTCGATGCCGCTTTGCCACCTCTTGGTAGGTGGGATCCTGTTTTTGTTGCCGTTGAACTGTTTGATCGAATTTCGCAAGTATCTCTTGCACAAGCTCGGGTGTTTCCTCCAGGTCATGTCCGACACAATGAATGTCTTCTAGGGCCTCATTTCTTTCTTGCAAACTCAGTTTGTTCAGTTCCGTTGCAAGCATACCTTCTGAGTCTTTCATTTCCTGCCGGGTATATTCTTGGCTTTCTTCAATGTTGGGTGTTGAATGTTGATTGGACGTACCAAGAAAGTTGCATTGTGAAAGACAGGACGATAGTGATGATGATCTGTTCTGATGGTTCATGATGATAATGATATGATCGTGAAATGCTGATAAAATGGTGCTGAAATCATGGTGGCATACCGATATGACACGTTATTTTCTTGTAATTTGATACTGGAATGATGCGTGTCGAATTTCATGCGGGAACAAGAGGAATCACCGACTGTAAAATGGAAATGGAAACGTCAGTGAAAAAATAGAAACGTCAGTGAAAGTGAGTAGGAACTTGAACGGCCGGGAAATAGAAATTTAGCATACAATTCTTGGGAGTAAATATTGATTTTCCCGGCCGTTCCTGATATTATGAGGAGGCCATAAAGGCCAAAATAACTTCAATATCATACTATTCTTTGATCCGAAATTCGGACTTCGGATATATCCGATTATTATACGATGGCCTGGACTCCCCGCAACTCGTCTGTCCATCCACCGAATTTTTAGCGTCGGACGCGATTACTACGCACAGGTCTTCCCCCCCGCCAGCAGGGAGCCCCTCATAAATTAAAACGACTTTTTGAAACCGATCAAAGAAATCGAAACAAGTCACTGCGACAAGAAACCGATCAAACGATTTTGAAACCGATCAAAGAAATCGAAACAAGTCAATGCGACAAGAAACCAATCAAACGATTTTGAAACCGATCAAAGAAATTGAAACAAGTCAATGCGACAAGAAACCGATCAAACGATTTTGAAACCGATCAAAGAAATCGAATCAAGTCAAAAAAATGAGTCACAAAATAAATTGAAAATCATGTCGATCAAAGCAAAATCCTTCAAGATGACAAATGTTACAGCGTACAGTAGGATCGAACGTATGGACCACTGCAAACCTCACAAATACGAGTTTCAGACCTTGAAAAATGGCAAGGAAGAAAAACCTTTGACCAAGGAAAGGTGCCATAGCTGAGATCCTGCGAGATTCATCAAGAACCTCCAACAACGCAGCATGGCATAGTTCTTGAAGAAGAGGATAAAGACGACAATCACAATAATGAGGATGAAGACGAACTACCTCAATATGCTGAACCAAGAGATGAAGAGGGTAAAGATGACTACTAGAATGAGATGCAAAGTAAATACAATTAGGGGCCCTACTCAAGACAGTTTCTATTTATCCCCTTCATAAGTTTCTACAGCATCCTCGATCATAATATCGTATAATGACATCTCTCTTGTGATCAGATAATGAGCCAAGATGCAACAAGCCTCAAAAGCTGAAGCAAATCTATCTCCGTTGTGTCAAAATCGCATCTCCAAGATCTTGTTTTGCTTCAACAGACTGTAGAAATTATCGTGTCTCTTGAGAGCTCGACTCTTGAAGGGCCTGACACCAGCATTGTCGTGTGTGTTGTAGGTGTTCATGTGCTTTGGCTCTCTGTTGTAGCCTCGATCTCCGAGGGCAGTTCCACAATCTTTCTCTCTTACCCAATAATAGTTGGAGTCGAACTGGGACGTCAGCTCATCTTTGGATAGGTACTTTCGTAGATAGTACAGTCGTCAAATCAAGAAATATTAGGGTCAAGTACTCCTCCCTTGATCCTTGCGCCTGCAATGTTGGTGATTTGCGTGTTGGTGTACACCCAAACTGCAGTGCAGGGAGAAACTCTGAAGTGGTGTTTGAAACTTGGCACGCTTGATTTGCCTTTCGCTGTAGCCCTTCAGAGCAAGGCCAGATTCCATCATCTCCGATGGAGTAGCAAGATGGTTGATGGGCGGCTCGTCCATGAAAGAGACTGATTTGATGATAATATCATGCGGAGACTCGCAAGGCTCCATCCGAGTATGATGTGGCTATCGTATACGTCGCAGTTTTTAAAATTAAAAATGATGTCACGAAATTTTGAAACCGCGATCAAAGAAATCGAAACAGATCAAGCAAAACCGATCAAAGAAATCGAAACAAGTCACTGCGACACAAAACAGATCAAATGATTTTGAAACCGATCAAAGAAATCGAAACAAGTCACTGCGACACGAAACCGATCACCGATCAAAGAAATCGAAACACGTCACTGCAACATGAAACCAATCAAAAACAATATTTTGCTACAACAATGCCCCGGCCCAGGGGTGTATTGAAAACTATTTAGTAGTCAAAGAAGTCGGAGATGTGAAATTCGGAAACGGTCGGTCGATAGACGAGTTGCGGGGGGTCCCTGCCTCAGCAAAAAACCTGTTCATTGATGCAAACAGTGAACTTTGAACCAGCTCCGTTTGTTCGGGTGTGAGGTGGACAATATTTCTTATAATAAAACGTAAAATATGTTGTGACAGCAGTATCCCACCAGAAGAATGATAAAGACAAAGTAAAGTTGATAGACGGTCGAAAACGGAAATCTCAAAAGAAGAAGGATGATGTCTGTAGTCGATCATCGCTCGAATTGAGAATGTGACATCTAGTAGAGCACCATAACCTATATTTGATAATATATAATATGTTGTTCGGATAAATTCGACGAGCACAGGAGGAGTATGTCTCACGGAGGATTGTCAGATCAAACTTCCGGAAATAGGATAAAATGGTACCGCGGTACCGGTACCTGGTACCATACACTACCTATTTATATTCGACTGTAGAGCACAGAGCCGGCACCGTGTATGTGCTGCTCTGTACGACTATCACAAATGGGAGTACGACTATCATAAATGGGAGTACGACTAAAAAGCACTTCTTACATCAAATTTCCGGATATATTCGGCTGCTGGTACCACAGGGCCACCATCGTTCGTCGCTACCTACGGTAGGTGACGGTCATTTTTACTTCCGTTTACGAAACTCTCGGAACAACTGCGCAATCTTTGTGTTGGTCTCTTTATC